GGTAATCAGGAGGCAGCAGCAACCTATACCTACCCTCGTTAACTCTCCTCAGGACTTTGACCGGCCCCACAAACCACGGGCTCAGCTTCCGGCATGGCAGGCGGAGGGGCAGGTTCCGGGTCGAGAGCCAGACCCGATCACCCGGGACAATGACCGGGGCCTCACTGCGGTGGGGGTCAGCGTTGGCTTTCTGGCGATGCACAGCGTGCTGGAGGTGGACGTGGGCGGCATTCCATGTCTCCTCCGCATGCCAAAACCAGTCGTCCACCGCAGGAGCTTCTGTCTGGCTCTGATGCCACGGTGCCAGAACCGGCTGATACCCTAAAACACATTGAAAGGGTAATAGGTTAGTGGAGGAGTGGCGGAGAGAGTTCTGGGCATATTCGGCCCATGGCAAGAACACCAACCACTCCCCCGGCAGGTCCTGGCAGTAGGACCGCAGGAACCTACCAACATCCTGATTCACCCGTCCCACCTGCCCATTAGACTCGGGGTGAAACCCAGAGGTCAGGCTGACCGAGACCCCCAGATGTTCCATGAACGCCTTCCAGACCCTAGACGTAAACTGGGGACCCCGGTCAGACACTATGTCCTCTGGCACCCCGTAGTGCCGGAAGACGTGAGTAAACAAGGCCTCCGCAGTCTGCAGGGCCACGGGGAGACCGGACAGGGGAAGGAGGTGGCAGGCTTTAGAAAAGCGGTCCACAACGACCAGGATGGTTGCGTTACCCTGAGAGAGTGGAAGATCAGTGAGAAAATAAATCGATAAATGGGACCATGGCCGTTGTGGAACTGGTAAGGGATGTAACTTACCCGCTGGAAGGTGCCTAGGTGCCTTACTCTGGGTGCACACCGAGCAGGAGGAGACATACACCCTCACGTCCTTAGCCAAGGTAGGCCACCAGTACTTCCCGGTCAGACAGCGCACTGTACGGCCGATGCCTGGGAGACCAGAGGAGGGGGACGTGTGATCAGATCAGATGATCACGGCCACTAGACGGCACATACCACAGCCCAGCTGGGCACTGAGGTGGAGATGGCTCTGTGCGTAACTCCCGCTCTATGTCCGCGTCCACCGCCCACACTACCGGTACCACAATGCAGGATGCCGGGAGTATGGGGGTGTTGTCTATGGGCCTCTCCTCTGTGTCGTACAGCCGTGACAGTGCGTCTGCCTTCACGTTCTTCGTGCCTGGTATATAGGACAGCGTGAAATCAAACCAGGTGAAGAACAAGGTCCACCTGGCCTGGCGAGGGTTCAGCCTCCTTGCTGCCTGGATGTACTCCAGGTTACGGTGGTCAGTCAAGACGAGGAAAGGGTGTTTCGCCCTTTCGAGCCAGTGCCTCCACGTGGTCAGGGCTCTGACAGCAGCCAAAAGCTCCCGGTCACCAACATCATAGTTCTTCTCCGCCGGGCTGAGCTTCTTAGAGAAGAAGGCACAGGGGCGGAGCTTGGGTGGCGTGCTCGAGCGTTGGGATAGGACAGCGCCTACCCCTACCTCGGACGCATCCACCTCCACTACGAACGGCAAGGATGGATCGGGATGGGCCAGCACCGGGGCTGAGGTGAACAGAGTCCTCAGGTTACTGAAAGCCCTGTCAGCCTCAGCAGATCAGCAGAGTCGGGATGGCCCACCCTTCAACAGAGAGGTGATGGGAGCTGCGACCTGGTCAAAGCTCCGGATAAACCTCCGATAGTAATTGGCAAAGCCAATGAAGCGCTACACCTCCTTTACCGTGGTTGGAGTCGGCCAATTACGCACGGCTGAAATGCGGTCTCCCTCCATCTCCACACCTGAGGTGGTGATGTGGTATCCAAGGAAGGAGACTGATTGTTGGAAGAACAGATACTTTTCTGCCTTGGCATAAAGGTCATGCTCCAAAAGTCGGCCCAGCACTCTGCAAACCAGGGACACCTGCTCGGCACACGTAGCGGAATACACCAGGATGTCATCAATGTAGACCACCACGCCGCGACCAAGCATGTTCTGAAACACCTCGTTCACAACGGACTGGAAGACTGCCCCGTGGTTGTGCTAAAGGCTGTCTTCCACTCGTCCCCTTCCCGGACATGCATCAGGTTGTACGCACTCCTGAGATCTAATTTCGTGAAGAAGTGCGCTCCATGCATTGATTCGATAACAGAGGAGATGAGGGGTAGAGGGTAACTATAGCGAATGGTAGTTTGATTAAGTGCACGGTAATCAATGCAAGGGCGCAGACCCACATCTTTCTTCTTCACAAAAAAGAAACTTGAGGATGCGGGTGAAGTGGAGGGACAAATGAACCCCTGGTGCAGGGACTCGGAGACGTATATCTCCATAGCCTCCGTTTCAGCCTGCGACAGGGGATATACATGACTCCTGGGAGGCACAGCATCTAACCAGAGGATTATCGCGCAATCCCCCGCCCGATGGGGTGGTAATTTGGTCGCCTGCGTTTTGAAAAATGAGTGCACCAAGTCGAGGTATTCGGAAAGAATGTGCACGGTGGAGGTAGTGTCTGGACTTTCCACCGTGGTTGCACCAACGGAAACACCTAGACACCTACCCTGACACTCTCGTGACCACCCCGTGAGAACCCTCTGCGGCCATGAAAAGGTGGGGTCGTGTAGTGCTAGCCAGGGAAGGCCCAACACAACAGGGAAATCAGGGGACTCAATAATATAAAGGTGTTTTGCTCCCTATGGGTCTTCTGCGTAATCATAGTGACTGGTGCTGTAACCTCCCTAACAAAACCTGACCCTAATGGTCGAATGTCAAGTGCTTTGATGGGCAATGGAATGGACAGGGGAACCAATGTAATACGTAGACTATTAGCTAAAGACCTGTCCATAAAGTTTCCAGCTGCGCCTGAATCGACCAGCGCCTTACACTGGGGAACTACCGTGTAATCAGGGAAGTTGACGTGGTTGGTGAAATGCGCAGCAGAGGGCTCTGAACGAGTGTGGGTATGTGCTACCTGGGGTGACACGAGAGTGCCCTGCCTGCCTCCTCCAGACCCAGAAGAACTCTGACGACAGCGTGCAGCAGAATGTCCCTTCTTGCCACAAGAGGGACACTGGATCTGCCGTCCTCTGTTCTCCCGGATCGCTGCACCACCCAGCTCCATCGGAACTTGATCTGGGTTGAAGGGGGGTGAAACGGGCAGGCCACTTCCAGGACGTCCTCTCGAAGCCAGCAGGTTGTCCAACCGGATGGCCATGCCCACCAGTTGATTGAAGGTCAACGTGGTATTCCGGCAGGCTAGCTCCCTTAGGAGGTCCTCACGCAAGCTGCATCGGAAGTGGTCGATGAGGGCCCGCTCATTCCACCCGGACCCAGCCGCTAGAGTTCTAAAACCAGGGCAAAGTCTTGCGCGGTCCTCGTCCCCTGCCTCAGATGGACCAGACGCTCGCCCGCCTCTCTACCTTCGGGAGGGATGATCGAAGACTCCACGGAAGAGGCGAGCGAACTCTCCGTAGTTGTCCAAAGCCTATCCTCCTTCATTCCAGACCGCGTTGACCCACTCCAGGGCTTTCCCCGAGAGGCAGGAGATGAGGGCGGACACCTTCTCCCAATCTGATGGATCCGGGCTGATGGTGGTAAAATAGAGGTCCAGCTGCAGGAGGAAGCCCTGGCAGCGGGCCACTGTCCCGTAGTATTCCCTCGGTCGAGACAGGTGAATACTCTGGGCACTGGGGTGTGGGTGGCTGGATCTGGTCGCTAAGCTGGTTCCGCTCAACGACTCCAGGCATATTCCCCGCTCCTGCTGACTCCATGCTGTTGGGTGTGTGATTCTGTAGCGGGTGATTTGGACGGAGTCAGGCGCAGGAGCTGTAAATCACAGAATAAATGGTTTATTCGGCCAATACAGCGGTTCGCAGCAATGCGGAAAACAACTACAGTGTGGTATAACGGCGCACTCGAGAAAAACAAAACACACGGGTGAATATCCCGGCGATACAGTACATAAAGCTCCACCGAGCTATCGACACCTCCACATGAAACATTCGCACACAAAGACATGGGGGGCAGAGGGAATACGTATACAGGGACTGATGAGGGATATGAACCAGGTATGTATAAAAACAAGACAAAACAAATGGAATGATGAGATGAGGAGCGGCAGTGGCTAGAAGGCCGGTGATGACGAACGCCGAAGCCTGCCCGAACCAGGAGAGGAGGCAGCTTCGGAGGAAGTCGTGACACAGACTGAGTTTTTTAAGGAACTCTGTCTGGCTATAAACTTACTCTATAAACTTAAGTTGTAATAGTAGAATGAAAGGTGCAATTTCGAAATTGGGTAGTGCATCATCAGTTCCTCTTGTCATGTTAGTCATTGCATACCTTAGAGAGCTATTTATAACTTGTGAGAAATGTCCAGATCAACTAGCCCACGTCAGCTAACATTTTCTTATTTAGGTTTGTTAACCCATATTGTTGTAATTTTTTTGTCACTCAAATATCACATGAATACACATTAGACATGGCAAAATAGAATAGAATTGCAAGAAAATTCGTTTTAAAACTGCCACATTTTCTTTGCACCCCATGACAAAATGTGTAGAATTGCAGGAAATAAGTTTTAAACCTGCTAAATACTCTCCACCAACAAGAGGGGTGTGAACAGTTTGTGTCATGAACAGTGCTTGTGCCCATAGAAATAGACGTGGTGCGTGCGCGCAGGGGGGGCACGATGTTCCCCAATGCCGGAAGGGGGACCCCGAGATAAAAAGTTTGGGAACCCCTGGGTTAGGCAATCCTTGATTTCACATACCCCTATAGGTCTTTCATGTTATAAACTGAAGCTAGCAAAGTCTAGTTCCCTCTCAGACTAGGGGTGAGTTTCCCAAAACATTGGTAGCACTAAGATCCTTTTTAATCCATTGCCTACCAATGGATTTAAGATGATCTTAGTGCTACAAAGGTTTTGGAAACTCAACCAAGATTAGCTCATGATGCTCATCTGAATGGTGACCTAACCTGTTCTATCTCTCCATGCTCCTCTTTGTGTCCCAGGTATGAGAGTGATCTGAAGCCCAGCAGCAACTCTCCCTCTATGGAGGAGGATGAGGGCTTCAGTGACTGGACACAGCGGCTGGAGAGACGCAGGCAGCAGGCCCAACGTATGGAGGAGCTCAGTCAGGCCACAGAGGAGCAGGACCAGAGGCCCCTGAATGGTGCCGCAAAGCCCCCCACACCATATACCCTCTCTGTCTCAGCCACCCCCACCTCATCCACCCCCACCACATCCACCCCCACCCCATCCACCTCTCGCCTGCAGAGATGGCACAAGGCAGAAGCGGAGGATGAAAAGGAGAAGAGGTGGGAAAGAAAGGAAAGTGAGAGGAAAGGGAGGGAGCAAGAGGAGGAGGTGGTTAGAGAAGAGAGGGAGAGAGACAAGGAGGCAGAGAAACAGAGGCAGGAGCAGATGAGAGTGCTGAAGAAGAGACAGGAGGACCAAAGACCAGATGCTGAGAAGGAGGTACTCTTTAGCATTACTGAAAAAAATGACCCAACAACAACAAAAATATATATAGGCCAATATGTGATTAAAGAATAAAATATAAATGATGAATATGATTATTAAAAAATGTATTTAGTTGAAGTAGTCAACTTTGGAGATGTTTAATGTTCTTTGCAACTCCAGGTGAAAGAGAAGAGAAAAGAGGTGAAGGTCTCGTACACATCCAAAGTCGTTCTGCATACAGAGACAAAGCCTGGCAACGCCAACGGAGACGCAGCTGGGGAGAAAGTGACATCATACATTGCCAAAACCAAATTAAGGGCTCCCAGGTAAATCATGGCGTATTGTGGTATATGGATATGTCTCACTAGATCTGCTTCCAAATTCAGTTTCATGGTAAGCAAATCATATTGCAATTCACATTGTGACTCCTAGATGTTTCACATTCTAAACCAACAGGATGGTGAAAACTATTAGGAGACAGAGACATCTCTTCAAATCCTCCACCTCTATATATCCACCTTTCTTCCTCCATGCAGTCATCCTCCATCTCTCCCTCCATCTCTCCCGCCATCTCTCCCAGGGCTGTGGTACAAGTGGCAGCGGCAGAGGCTGAGGAGGAGGCCATCTTGGAGACAGAGGCCAAGCTGGAGAAGATCCGACGGAGCCACGCGGAGAAGGAGAACCAGGAGCTTGAGCAGCTCAGATACAAGCAGGTTGAGGCCGAGCAGGAGCTGGAGGCGCTGAAGAGCAGGAGGGAGGAGAGACGCCAGGTCAGGAAGGAGGAGGAGCGCAGGAGCAGGGAGGAGGAGCAACAGCGTCTAGCGAAGGAGGAGGTGATGGTCAACTACTGTGTAGACATACTGTGAAGCCTACGGCCTCAAGATACACACACAGAAGGAGAATAAATGGTGATGGGCATTCCAAGTCTTTTCAGTGAGCTGGATAATTTGGCTCCGTTCACCTAAAAGAGCCATTAATTTAGCACCCAAATGGCTCTTCGTTCAGTAGTGCTTAAAAATGTACCTAGAAGAATGAAAACATTGCAAATTGTGAATGTAAAGCCTAAGATCTGCCTACCATTATGTCAGATAGTGAAATGTGAGTTCAAATACATTTTTACCTGACCACATTATTACATCACCTGCCAAAGATACATCTGCAAAAATGTGCATGGACCTGAATAAGGCTCTCTCCGACTATCTATTGTTCCTGCAGTGAGAATGTCCTTCAGGTAATGTTTTTATCTGCAGATAATCGATGTCTGGATCTCAAAAAACAGTACTAGCAGTATGCAAATCAAGGAGCCAAATGAACGGCTCTTTCACCGATGTGATTTCCGACGTCCACCAAAAAGATCTGTTCCAAAAGAGCTGTTCATTCACGAACGACCCATCACTCTGTTAAACACATGCATCACACATGCAAAAGCAGCTTTAAATCAGCTAAGCAGGTATACAGCAGTTGAATATAGCACTCACTAAATGAGCCACCCCTTTGCCTCCAACAGGAGTCTATGATACATGTGTAACGTAGCTATGATCACATGTGGTACACTCTTAGAAAGAAAGGTTCTATCTAGAACCTAAAAGGGTTTTCAGGCTGTCCCCGTAGGATAACCTTTTGAATAACCCTGATTGGTTCCATGTAGAACCCTTTTAGTTCCAGGTAAAACCCTTTTAGGTTCCATGGAGAACCCTTTCCACATAAGGTTCTACACTGAACCCAAAAGGTTTCTACCTAAAACCATTAAGGGTTCTATCTGAAACCAGAAAGGGTTCTACCTGGAACCAAGAAGGGTTCTCCTATGGGGACAGCCAAAGAACCTTTTTGGAACCCTTTTAACTAGGAGTGTACTGAACCATTGTGTCTTCATGTACAGGAGGAGAAGAGGAGGATGAAGGAGGACATAGAGAGGAGGAGGATGGAGGCAGCAGAGAGGATGAAGAGCCTCAGTACCTCTAGCGTGGACGGAGATGAGATGTTTAGCCCGCTCAGTCCCAAAGGCTCCATCTACAAGGTAGCTAACTTGTCTGTTTCCTCTGTCTATGTAGCCAAGGTTTGTCATCATTGCCCATGGTCATAAATGACAAGTACTGTTCTTATGAGATTATAATGATACCTTTGCTTTCAGTATTTTTTTCAAATTAAATTGCTCGGTACTTTGTATTATTGTTAAAACAAAGAAAAAAATACCAAAATGTGACTTTATACCATCTTTACAGCTATTGTGTTCAGTTTTAAGCCTGTAAATTGCATGTGTGTGTTTTAAATGTCAGAATTTGCCACAGTCTCCACCACAATGCATGTAGTGTGATCAGGTCACACACATTTACGTATGGGTTTGCGATCTGTGTGTGTGTGTGTGTGAGACATGTGCAGCTTTGAAGTCGATCATTATTCACTGTTTTGTGTCAATACAACCACGTCTCTGTCTGTGTGATGTTAGTTTTCTCTGACAGCATGTCTCTATGTACATACCTCCATTCCAGTGAATGAAAAAGGCAGAGACCATACAATGTCATAGTTTTTCAGGCCAAGGCCAAACGGTCGCTGTGACAGCCTGTGTTTACACTGTTCTGTGTTACTGTCCTTCACTCCTTCCACCTCGCTCTGTAAAAAGTAGGGTAGTAAGTTATTCAGTTAGTTAATATAGATATACTGTCAGTAGCTAATAGATAGTGTTTCCATGGGTTCATTTGTTTGATTTTAGCATTTACACTGCATGGCATGTTGTGAAGGGTTGAGTATAGTACCATGTTCCTGCTTCTTGTATCATTTCATTAGACTTGTTGACTGTCAGATGCATTCCACAGGGTTTATAATCCACTCAGATCCCATTAGGATATGAAGCCTAATCACAGTTACTGGCATTGTGTTCTGCAAGGAGATTCCAGTAAGGACCCTAGATAACCTTTTAGAGCTGGATGTCATTTCTAACACCCCAACCCTATGAGCTTGCTTTATGAGCCTGGCTCAACTCTGACTTTAATATATCAGTCAGATCATTGAGATAGCTAATTACATTTTTACAACCAGATGCATATATCATGTACCTCTCATCTGTCATAAATGCACTCACTGCATGTAGCATTCAGTCACCTTATCGTCTCCTTGACAGGCAACAAGTTCAGCTACTAATAATATTACGTTTCCATCCACTATCTCTTATTTTTACTTTCTAACCCGACTGTACAGGGTTATGTGGTTACGGGGTTGCGGTGGTTGTTTCCTTGGGCCTGCATCTGTAGCGCTGTCATGAGATTCTCTCTGATTATGTGTGTAATTTTAGAGAGAGAATGAATAGTTTGACAGGAGAACATACATGCTCTGTGAGTTGGGGTCGACAGGCTGTGCTCTTTGATTCAGGTCCAGGGCTGGACAGTGAACAGTCACATAAGGGATCCTTTTGTGTGGGAGGAACCAGAGCTTAGTGCTGGATCCATTGAAGTATGACCCCTTTGGCAACCAAGGGTAGAGGACAGGACATTATGACCCTGCCTCAAACTAGAACTCCTCTCATACAAATATTAGTATTTTGATAATGACTAGCCTAAAACTTGTAATCCCAAACACATTTTCTTTACTATGATTCAGTCTGTAATGCAGTAAATACACCGATTCAAGGTAAGGAATGGGTTTTGGAAGCCTTCCCACACCCTGATTTCATTATAATTATGCCTGCAGTAAACCTTGGATTAAGGCAGTCAGCTTGACTCTCTCTCTGATGATATGAACGGACAGATACAGGCCGATGGAGACAGCTGAAAAAGACCAGTAGAACATTGCTCTGTTTGACTTGGAAGAGATCTGCTGCGTCAGGCTAAATACAGGGCTGTGATTAACATCACATTGATCATGAGAATCTCCAGTCTGACAATTTTAGAAGTCATGGAACACTTCACTGTTCTATTCCAATTCCAAAACAATCACCTTCAACATCCTCTTCATCTTTTTCAGATCACAGAGAGAACGGAATCCTTGAACCGATCCCTAAAGAAAAGGTGAGCATCATGCAAGCAAACGAGGCATTTTGAATAAGACAAAGCAAACAAACAAATTCCACAACCTCTGTTGTTCCAATTGTACTCTCACATAGTTTCTCTCTAATCTTGGTTGTAACTTGAAGTTGACCAAAGTCCCACTGGGCCCCCCTGCGGATGCCTGGATGGAGAGGTGCTATCTATGGCAGAACAGCAGTTATGCCGGCTAAATGGCTGGTGTGTAAAAGTAAACATAGAAGAAGAGGGCCAGCGGTGACCTCTAAACCTCTCTCAGTGCATCACCTTTGTCAGCCTGGGTGATTTATGGCTTGGTTAACTCTGACCAGATGTGGGGGCTGGAGCCTGGGCTGGCTGGGTTCTCTCTGGTGGCTGGTGAGCTATAGCTCTGGACTGTGGGGCTGTGGTGTGGCTCCATGCAGTCTGACCGCAGTAGTAAGTTATCAGCGGTAAAAAGCTCTGAGCAGTTGGAGTAGTAGAGGCCAGGCCAGTGTTAAAATAATATGGAGAGTGTGAATGAAAACAGGGCATAATAACGACTTTATCATCCAGGTGCAGGTTTGAGATCTGAAGAATTGAGTGTGACGTCATGTTTTAGTCTAGGACGGAGGGAGAGTTTAGGTCGGAGGGAGAGTTCAGTGATGACATCACTAGTGATAGTCCTTTGATGTGTGTAAAAACACTGTTAGACCAAATCAAAGCATTCTGGAGAAGAAGTTATGGGTGACAGACGGCTTCCTTCACCCCTTTACTTATAACAGCCTTCTCTCATGCAGAAAGAAAGCATGACATCATTTAGCCAACCCAATTTTAACGTTTTTGCAGAGCAAAAGACCCTTCAAATAAAGATTTGTGGGCCGTGCACGTTTATCATGTTAAAACCATCCTGCCATGCCTGAAGAACTAGCCAGCCCTATCAGGCTAATGACTCATGCCTTCCATGGGAGCTCTCTTACTAATATAAATAGCTTTGGGGGCAATTTTGAAATGCAGGGAATAGGCTCAGTATTTTCAGATTGGACCCACCCGGTATGTCTGACATTAGCTCTGTGTAGTGGATTTTTAGGCAGCTAGCGGTGTGTGTGTATGTGTGTTTGGGTAGGGGTCCTTCGCACTGGGTCCCACTGTGGTCAGCGAACAAGCCTCATATTGGGCCTGAAAGACAGTGTTGACAGAAGTCCCTGCAAGAGGCCTTGCAATCCCATCCCCTGTCTGATGGCAGTGCAGATTCAAATGGCTCATTTTATCAAGGGGGTGTATCACCACACTGAACCCACTGGGCAAAAACTAGTTGAATCAACTTTGTTTCCACGTCATTTCAACCCAAAGATTACATGTGATGACGTTGAATCAACGTGGAAAACTGACTGGATTTGAAAAAAGTCATCAACGTAAGAGAATTGTGTCAGTTTTTTACCCAAATTATAACCTAAATCCAATGACATGGTGATATTTTTTGTGTATTTCACGTTGAATTCATGTTAGTTGACAACTTAAACAAATGATAAATCAAAACTAGACATCGAACTGACGTCTGTCCCCAGTAGGATATTTCAATAGGGTAGGGAAAGGATGATCCCTGCTCACTTGCAGGCCTGTTGTCAGTCAGATGAGATAGTAAAACGTTATTGTTTTTCTTCCCCCAACCATTTGTCCTCTTGTGTTGTATTTCACCCTCTGACCGAGCGTCTCTATTTTGGATACAGCAACAGCTTCAAGAAGACACAGCCCCCTGTTCTCCTCACCAAGATCGATGACAGGCTGGAGCAATACACCACTGCCATCGAGGTTAGCTCCCACCTTGTTTCTCCCCCTTTCTCCCTCCCTACATCCCGACAGACAGAGCCCCCATTGATGGGGGCTGTGATGAAGGCTTTCATCTGGTGACTACTCAGCCAGACTTCTCTGCCACCTTCTCTGCCTCTTTATAGGTGACACACTGTGTCAGTATCACACATACATAGTTATATTGTAACTCAGAGTCAGTCTCATATCAGCCTTAGTAACAACTTTCCATCCAACCTTTTTATGCGAGTAAAGTACATGTCAGATAAAACATGTCACGACAGGCCTGATGGAAACAGCAAATTTGTCTTCAAACTTTCCAAATGTCGACAAAACAAAATACGCTATACAAGGTGGGATCTTTCTGTGTCTGTAAAATTAATTATGCAAGAAATGTCTGTGGAAACGCATTTATGCGCAAATATTGATATAAAAACCATCATATCGAGGTAAACTGGGAGTCACGCGATGATATGTTTTGTGGTACTCCCACTACGACTCGTTGGGAAAGCATGACGTTGTTTTGGGCTAGAGTCAGATGAAATAAGTTATGATGAACTTCACAGGGTGGTGAAAGTGCACGTGATGAGCTTGACGCTCCTTTCCAATAAATATTGAGGGTCTTATTCTAGTGACATGATGATCAATGCTTGACTGTAGGCTATACCCGCACTATAGACCAGAGTGGGCACATTCGCAATATAATGCAATATTTTTACCAACAAAACCATCAGTAGAGTTTAAAATATTTGTATTTGCTCTATGTCATCACGCACAGCCTTTTATCCGCAACGTCAGTTTGATGGATACACCCCTCTGATGGGAAATTGTGCATGTTGTTTTTAGAATATTTGCATGAAAATCAGTCGACAATTGGATGGAAACATGTCGATATCACTGTTTACACATCAAAGTCAGTCACGTGGCCTTAGTCAGGCCCAGTCCGTCAAACCACCTGTCTACTCTATAATTTGGGAGAGGATTGATGGGCATTTGAGGCTTAGCTTGCTTTCTCATCTCCTGAGTGGTGCCTGAGTCATACTATAAGTACATGGGAGTAGTTGTGTGTGTGGGGCCCTCCTACTGCTCTCCCATGAAGTCCCTATTGCATCATCAGATCACTAGCATGCTATGTTCACTGTTTTTCTAGACTTTGTTACTCATTGTGTCTAATTATGTGCTAACTGTGCCACTAGAGATCCTGGTTCGAATCCAGGCTCTGTCGCAGCCGGCCGCGACCGGGAGACTCATGGGCGGCGCACAATTGGCCCAGCGTCGTCCAGGGTAGGGGAGGGAATGGCCGGCAGGGATGTAGCTCAGTTGATAGAGCATGGCGTTTGCAACACCAGGGTTGTGGGTTCGATTCCCACGGGGGGCCAGTATAAAAAAAAAAATGTATTCACTAACTGTAAGTCGCTCTGGATAAGAGCGTCTGCTAAATGACTAAAATGTAATAATAATAATAATATGCCATTTAGCAGATGCTTTTATCCAAAGCGACTTACAGTCATGAGAAAATGTAAATGTAAAATGTATGTTATGCTGTGTTTTATACAACGGGTGGGTCTAATCCTGAATGCTGATTGGTTAAAACCTCATTCCAGATGGTGTCTATTCCACAAGTTACCACCGGCTAAATCTATGACGTTAAAATGCCTATTTACTCTGTTCCACCTGACTGCGCAATCCACTGTCTCATCAGTCCAGCCAGGCAATTTATAAACTTCATCTCCACTATAAAAAGCCTCTAGACATTATCTCACATTTCTTTTAGACTTCATAAGATGAATATCAGTGAACAAGCTTGATAAATATGCTTTTTGATCTGGAGTTTTGTTATATGCAAATGTCCATGCAAATGGTCAATAAAGTATATTGTATCGTTATGTTGTGTAGTATTCCCAGGAGGTCAAGGCAGCCAAACAGGGCCTGATGGACATTCCCATGTCGCCTGAGGCAGTGTCCTCCAAGAAGAATTTGTTTGAGGCTGGAGAGGCCTGGAACCAGTGCCCGACCAAAGGCACACCAACCAAGGCAAGGAAACACCCCTATAACGTTACATACACATGAATTAATAAAGTCATAGAAGTCTAAGTCATTTCTCACCATCGCCAATGACTGAACATTATACACCCAACAACATAAATTGAACCTTATGGATACAAAACATGTGAATGCTCATTACATACAGTATCTGCCTGGAGTTATACTGTCAAATTAAATTAAAATGGTATTTGCCACATGCGCCGAATACAACAGGTGTAACCCTTACCGTGAAATGCTTACTTAAAAGCCCTTAATGTAAGAGTTAAGAAAAATATTTACTAAATAAACTAACGTAAAAAATAAAAGAGCAACAATAAAATAACAATAGTGAGGCTATATACAGGGTGTACCGGTACCGAGTCAATGTGCGGGGTTACAGGTTCATCGAGGTAATTGAGGTAATATGTACATGTAGGTAGGGGTAAAGTGACTATGCATTGATAATAGATAATAAACAGCGAGTAGCAGCATCGTAAAAAAAGGGGGGGTCAATGCAAAAAGTCTGGGTAGCCATTTGATTAGCTGTTCAGCAGTCTTATGGCTTGGGGGTAGAAGCTGTTAAGAAGCCTTTTGGACCTAGACTTGGCGCTCCGATACCGCTTGCCGTGCGGTAGCAGATAGAACAGTCTATGACTAGGGTGGCTGGAGTCTTTGACAATTTTTTGGACCTTCCTCTGACACCGCCTGGTATAGAGGTCCTGGATGGCAGGAAGCTTGGCTCCAGTGATGTACTGGGCCGTACGAACTACCCTCTGTAGCACCTTGCGGTCGGAGGCCGAGCAGTTGCCATACCAAGCAGTGATGCAACCAGTCAGGATGCTCTCGATGGTGCAGCTGTAGAACTTTTTGAGGACCCATGCCAACTCTTTTCAGTCTGCTGGGGGAATAGGCATTGTCGTGCTCTCTTCACAACTGTCTTGGGGTGTTTGGACCATGATAGTTTGTTAGTGATGTGGACACCAAGGAACTTGAAGCTCTCGACCCGCTCCACTACAGCTCCGTCGATGTGAATGGGGGTGTGCTCAGCTCTCCTTTTCCTGTAGTCCACGATCAGCTCCTTTGTCTTGCTCACGTTGAGGGAGAGGTGGTTGTCTTGGTACCACACTGCCAGGTCTCTGACCTCCTCCCTATAGGCTGTCTCGTCATTGTCGGTGATCAGGCCTACCACCGTTGTGTCGTCAGGAAACGTAATGATGGTGTTGGAGTCGTGCGTGGCCACGCAGTCATGGGTGAACAGGGAGTACAGGAGGGGACTAAGCACGCACCCCTGAGGGGCCCCTGTTTTGAGGAGCAGCGTGGCAGATGTGTTGTTGCCTAGACTGGAGACACAGAAATCTACCTAGCTCTCTTTCAAAATAGATTTACACACTGTGCAGATGTCTAATTATATCTGTCCCAATGCTACTCTCCATGCTATTGTATGGTTGTGATCTCAGACCTCTGTTTATAGTCCTCCCACCCCAGGCCACAGCCCCCTCTCTCCCCGATGTGATGTCTTTAATTACTGTATCCCATTCATCGTGTGCAGGCCAGGGTTCTTTGAGGTAACCAGAAAGGCATGGCAGCTTGACCCCGGGGAGAGAGGAATAACAAACAGCATGTGAGCCACGGCGGTACAGATCTGAGCCCCTTATGGCTGTTGTTTATTTTAACTCTCTACGACAAATGTGTGGTTTCCCCCCACCCCTCTCTCCGGTACCTCAGAGGTATTCCATAGCATGTACAGACGTAGGATCTTAATTTGAGCCAGTATGCTACAGCAGGCAAATAATCCTGCAGCAATAGGAAATGTTAATTATTATGTGGATTACAATTAATTGACATTATTGTAGGGGCTGATACATTTTTCGTAAAGGAAAATCAAGTCTGAAATTTCAAAGTGGAAATTACAAACTTCAGAAGCCTTTCTAAACCACAAATATATTACAAGTTTTACAATTCCTGCATTGCTGGAAAGTTATCCTGCAACAGGGTGATCAAATTAAGATCCTACATCTGTAGCAGTAGCTGCTAACCTGCCCCCAGAGATACAGTATGTCTTACCCTTTCTAGCACCATGCTAACAGCTTTCACCGCAGGAGTAGCCCTAAAGAAAATAAATCTACAGGCCAATGGACCAGACAGGCTAGCTTGAAAGGAGATGAGTGAGAGGACAATGGAGAGTAAATTACAGAAAATAAGTTGCATGGCAGTCTGAAGGATGCAGCCACAGAGCAGCAGTCTTGAGCCAGTTTGCTACAGCAGGAAAATAATCCTGCAGCCACAGGAAATATGAATTATTATGTCGATTATAGTTGATGGGCATTATTGTAGGGGCTGATATGTTTTCCATAAATGGAAATTACAAACTTCAGAAGCCTTTTTAACCTCAAATGCACTGCAGGTTTAACATTTTCGGCATTGCAGGAAAGTTCTCCTGCAACAGGGTGATCAAATTAAGATCCTACATCTGTAGCCTAATGGTGTATAACCTCGTATGGATGAAAGAGAGCTGCCTAATCTCTGCACCCAAAACCAAAACCAAATCTTGTGTGTGTGCTGGACAGCTACATTTATCAGTAACAGTCTGTCACAAGAGACTAGGGAATGGAAGTGTCTTGATGAACGCCTGAGTGGAAATATGTGTATGTGTGTGTGTGCCAGCAGGATGCTGAGAGTCTGAAGGTGGGCGTGGCGGACATGATCACCCAGTGGGTGAAGGGGAACCCAGATGGCACCAGCAGCAGTTCCCCATCAAGACCAGCTGTAAGTCTCGCTCAGAACAGTCGTGTACAGTACAGTATATAGTGTATATGGGTATACGTCACAGGAGGTTGGTGGCACCTTAATTGGGGAGAACGGGTTCATGGTAATGGCTGGAGCGGAATCGGTGGAATGGTATCAAATACATCAAACACATGGTTTCCATGGGTTCCAGGTGTTTGATGACATTCCATTCGCTCCGTTCCAGCCATTATTATGAGCCGTTCTCCCCTAAGCAGCCTCTACTGGTATACGTTTACTGTATTTGGCTCTGCATTTCACCACAGTCTGCCTGCGGAGCACACACTACCGCCAACCGCTTTTCCGTCACTATTCTCTAGCACTGGCATCGCCTTCACAGAAGTGGCTTCTGGTTCAACAATGTAGTAAGAAGTCACACTGGGTTTTCTCATCCCCTTTAGAGAGACTGAATCATCTTCATCAAAATACAGCATCTGCGTATCTACTTCCTATACTTTCATTCCTCATTCTTGTTATTTCAACTGTCTTCACGTCTTCCCTTCTCAAGGTAACTGCTCTTTTCGCTCTCTTTCCCTTACCTCCCTTTTTTCCTTCTGAACTGTTCTACATGGAAGTGTTTGTAGCACAGCTGTAGTGCACCAGGCATGCAGAGAATCAGAGATGTGTGTGTACAGTCAGCCTTATCCAAGGTTGACATCTAGTGGGGCGTAGAGTTCTACGTTCAGAACAGTGGAGGCTGCTGACAGCTCATAAACATGGCTGGAACGGAGTGAATGGAATGGCAATTGACCGTGTGTTTGATGTATTTGAGACCATTCCATTCATTCCGCTCCAGCCATTACAACGAGCCCGTTCTCCCCAATTAAGGTGCCACCAACCTCCTGTGGTTCAGAACCAAAGCACAGAGGGTTGCTTGTCTTGCATGGCTCCCAAAAGCATTTTATATACAACTCTCCAGAAAGCATTTGAAGAGTTGCTGTTTGGTGCTGTTCATTCCCCAGGATGTAAAAGCTGGTGACGTGATGCAGAAAAAGAACATGTGGGAGATCATTGGAGAAACATCCCCTGGGAGTTCAGGAGCAGGAGCAAAGGTGAACGTGCTCACACACACACACACACACACACACGCTCACACACACACACACGCTCACACACACACACACATGTATGCACGCACGCACACACACACACACGCATGCACGCACGCACACACACACACATCAATACACACGTACAGTATTTGAATATTCTGTGTCAAACAGTGTATAATATACTGTGGCAAATTCTCTCTGTTCTAAATCAGTCTCTATGCTTTTCAGGGCAATCCATCTGGTAAAAAGTACAAATTTGTGATGACTGCTCATGGCAAATATGAGAAAATTCCTGTTGATGATGAAAATATGGATGGATACACCAATGGAAAAGCAGGTGAGATGACTGGGTCTAGACAATAATTATACATTTTAAAACATTAGTGTAAATACCATAATAGTCCAATAATAACTCGTATTTTCTTAGGCAAAAAACACCTTTTTATTCTGCTGGTCCTGCGGATAAAAATAAAACAATTCAATCTACAAAATACCAGCTACAATTAAATAACATGACTTGTATCAAACAACAAAAGCCCTTGATCTGCCCATTATCTTCACTACAGAATGAATTCTCTCTATTTAATTCTGTAGCTCAAAATGAACTTTCTATGTCATACAACATAAGCATTTTTTCTATTCAAGCTCTTTTTTATTTTCTGTTTTATCAAAAATATATAGAAAATAACGTTTACTGTAAACTTATGCAGAAAAATCTCAGATTCCAAAGCAGTTGGACATCACTCTGTCAATAACAGGCAATATTCTTAATCTTTTTAATATAGACATGCATGAAAGAAAAACGTAAAGCACCAATAACAAGCTGACGAACCTACAGAACCTCAAAGTCAAATGTCACTCTCAGCTCTTGACCCTTCCGGGCCCCTCGTTTGAAAGCTGTCTACTTGAAAACTGTGTGTGTGAAACATGATATTTCAGTCTATTTTACTTTCACGTTAATCCTGCATTGGTGTCAATGGGAGATTTGTGGATCACAAGTTAGGATACATTTGTCTTAGCGTCTGTCGTCACTGGCCTCCATATCCCACAACCCCTCCCCCCATGACCTCTTATCCACTCACGCCAACAGTTAAACACATCCTTCATAGAGCTGACATGTCCCCCACAGGAGTTAGAAACCCTATTTCTCAAATAACACTCTCACTGACCTGTAGTCCTAAAAGGGAAGAAGGCAAAGCTGGTAATCGTCTGTAGTCTACTCAAACGTTCTAAGAAAAAGTATCACCTGAATATCTAAAGTCTATTTGAAAGACTTAAGTAAATAGCACCATTTTGGGAAATATACACTCCTACTTTCATCCTCTCCTCTTTTTTTCATCCTTCTTTGGAAACATTACTCTAAATGCCCAAGTTTCTTCGGATACCCAAAACCTGCATCAATATACTGTACAGTCTATAGACTATACACTCATCTGCGATTTCAAGACACATAACTGAGTACTATAACTGAGAGTTGATGGTTTTCAGTAGGTGGTGTACCTAAGTAAGTACATTGCACTACAGTCTCAGGACCCCTTCTGAAAAAGCAACTCATTCTCCTCTCAGGGTTCAACAGTGGACAAAAAATCAACTCTGAGATTTACTTAATCTTTGTACATTTTAATCTCACGAGATGTCTAAATTCCTTTAAGACAACAATATATTTTTCCTTTTCCTCTGATTGTCAAGGTAATATTTTCATATTATCAGAGAAAGGGACATTCAGACAAATGCATAACGTAGTCAGACGACAAAACAATCAGTGCTCAAAATGCAACATGGTGCATTTATCAAGTATAAAGTTAAGACCACATTCTCTATGAGACTGTCTTAAATATTGTATCCTGTGTCAAGCAGAGACTATTACATGGGACCTGTACATTATGACTACCATTTCTACACCAGTGAACATAAAACATTTAACAACAATGTTCTTCTCAGTTTCATCTTTACCAGTCCAAAGAGACATGGTTTAAGGACAAGTGAACCCTCTAGCTGTTCTGTTAAAGTCTTTTGGTTCCTCATCTTTATGTTTACGCCCTATGAGACCCATCTCAAACACAGTCGAAATTTTAGTAAGTGGCCTTGACGCAGCCTCTCTTAGCCTTTTGGCATCAAACTTTGGGCTGAAAAGGAGAACAGGCAGACGATGGGCAAAGGATGGGATTTCTTTCACTGCATCCTTTGGCTGCTCTTTTCTCTCCTCCTCACTTTTGCTGGCTTCAATCACCTGCATAATCTTCTCTTTAGTGGAGAACATATCGAAGAGAAGAGAATCCCACTTCTTCACTGCCTTGGGAGGATCGTCAGCCGTTACCGCGGCCACCATGTCTTTAAATGACACCTTTTCATCATTTTTTGCTTCACCTCCATCCTGCTCAGTCCCCTTGACGATTTCTTTCTTAGGATCTGATTCTGGGAACATAGGTGGTTCTTCTTCCACCACCATGTGCTGCTTGAGCCGTGACCAACCACTGAGTTTAGACTTCATCATGCCCTTTGGCTTTTGGATCACTTTAAGAAGAGGTTCAGCTGCTGGGAAAGAGTCTTTCCTCTCTTCCTTCTTCTCTGTCGATGGTGTGGTTGGAGCTGATACCGCCTTTTCAGGGTTGGCTTCCTGGTTATCCTTTGGTTTAGCCGGCGACACAAGCTTCTCAGGAGCTGAGGTCTTTGCAAGTGGAGAAGAAGTGGTCGGCTTTGTCCCTACTGGTTTAGCCTCAGAGGTTGCTTTGGTTGGCGTTTTCGGATCTGTTGATTCATTCAACTCTTTTTGTTGCGCCACACTGGCTTTAGCCACAGGAGATTCTGTTTTTGAGACAGGAGGTATTGTCTTGCTGGCATCTTTGTTTGCAGCAGCAGGCACAGGACGTTGGGTTTCTGGGGTGGGTGTCTTGGGTTTTGGGGAAACTCCATATGTTGGTGTCTTCACTGGGGTTTTAACCTCTGGTTTCTTAGCCTCAGGTGTTGGAGATTTAGCCCATGGTCTTGTGTTGGCCACAGTTTTAACCTTTGGCATTTCAGGAACAGGAGTTGGCATTTTGCTGGTCACAGCTGTGGATACTCTTGGTTCTGAGACCTCTTCAGCTTGTGTAACAACAATGGTTGGAAGCGGAAGCTTAACTACTGGAGTCGTGGATACTGTGGCCTCACTTGAAATAGTTTTTTCCAGCTCTTTGGAGGATGCTTCCTGGTTTGACACATCGTGCAAAGGATGTGATTTTACAAGTAACTCTTGGGTAGGCTTTTTAGAGAACTCTTGGGTAGGTGCTTTAGATGCTTCTAACTCTTGTGTTGGGGTTTTAGATTCCTCTAGAGTTGGCGTCTTAGACCTGGATATGCCGAATAAAGGTGAAAGACTTTGGATTCCACCATGGGCAACATATGCAGCAGGAGTCAACCCATAATATGTATGGATTGGTTTAGGGGCCACATATGTTGGTGTCTTGGGCCTTTGAAATCCTATGGATGATACCCCAGCTGTGGTGCTCTTTGGTCTTTGATACCCTGCTGGTGGTTGTGGTCTTTGATACTCAATTGTTGGAGTCATAGGTTTATGCCCTTCATTTGAGGGAGTCTTGGGCATTGGATACCCATCTGAGGGTGCTGTAGGTTTTGATGTTTCTTTTGTTGGCGTCTTGGGTCTTTGGGACCCATCTGAGGGTGCTGTAGGCTTTAGTGTGACAATTGTTGGAGTCTTGGGTCTTTGGTACGCATATGAGAGTGCACCAGATTTTGGTGTGACATCTGTTGGAGTCTTGGGCCTTTGGTACCCAAATGAGGGTGCAACACTTGTTGGAGTCTTGGGCCTTTGATAGCCTAATAGATCTGTAGGGGTCTTTGGTCTGGCAGACTCAACTATTGGAGTTTCATGTCGAGGAGCCTCTGGTTTTGAAATGTTCTGAGGGGGTGATTTAGTTGTGGGAGTCTCTTTCGACGTCACTTCCCCATTTAGAGTTCTTGTACCTTGACTAGTTGAAGGTGATTTTGACAAAGATTGATTGGCAGCATTAGAACCAGGTGTTGGTGTTTTAGATCTCTGTGCCTCTGTAGTAATGGGTGAGACAGTGAATAAAAGTGGGTTGGTTCTTGATATTTCAAAAACAGGTGTTTTGGCACGGGAGACATGATTTGAGGGTGTCTTAGGGCGACCTAAAGGAGTTCTTGGTGTTAGAAAATCGCGAGTTGGTGTTTTAGCTCTTTTCACTTCAGATGTAGGCGTTGTACTCCTTTGGAGTTCAGGTGTCGGTGTTAAACCTCTTTTTACCCCGGATGTAGGTGTTGCACTCCTTTTGATTTCAGCTGTTGGTGTTGTAGCTCTTCTGATTTCTGATGTTGTTGTTTTACTCAGAGGTAATGCGTCTGCAGTAGATGTCTTTGATCCAGTATAATCATGGAGAGGGGACATAGATGCAGTATAGACCCTAATTTGAGGGACATCAAACATCGGTTTGGGTGCTTTTAGTGTAGCTTCGGTAGCTTTAAAACGTGGACTTGGACTTTTGTGGTGTATTACTACTGGGGCTATTCGCAGAGTAGGTTGTGTAGCAGCAGGAGTGACAGGAGCAACTGGAGCAGTGAGTGGATGAGTAACTGGAGCAGTGATTGGAGGAGCAATTTGAGCAACAGCTGTCGTTGTCATGTCAGGCACAGAGGAAGTTTGCACAGGCGTTTTGGGTGCCAATGCATGCAAGGTTGGCCCTGGAACGTCTGGAACGGGTGTTGGAGTAAATGTGTAGAGTGGGGCCACATACTGGGGGAAGGTGGGGGCTGGAGCAGCATACAGCTGTGGGGAGAAACTTGCGGTTCCACCAAAAGTGGCTCCTCGTTGCTGCGGGTAAGGGGATGCAACATGCCGATAGACTGGCCTGACAGCAAATCTGGGGTGCTGTGTGTAGAAGGGTGCCTCTGGGGTTTTGGGAGGGGTTGAGTGGTCACTGTGCTCCAAGTCAGGGCTTGCTTCATTCACAGGGGAGAGGCTTGAGCGGAAAGGGACAGGTGTCTTTGCGTTCTCAGGGGCTGCTTTTTTCGTGATTTTTTTCTCCGTTTTCTTGAGTAGTTTCTGGAGTCTAGCATTTTCCTTGCCAGGCTTGGGCAGTAGAGCTGGAGGGTACTGCTGGAAAAGCAGGCCTGGTTCATTGACATTGCTATAACTGGCAGCCATGAGCAGTTTAACCCCCTGAAAGAAATACAGGACAGTGTGAGGCATATTTATTTGGTTATCAATGATACTGTAGCCTATTGTTTTAAAGGAAGAGGGGCAGTGTTCAATCAATTCAACTTCTCCTTACAGCTGCTCTCCACCCCCATCTCGGCCCATGGTATAGATCAGTGGCTGAACTATTCATTGACCATCAAGAACATCATCAATACATCATTGGTAAACAAACACATTTGACTACTTTTTCTTTCTTTTTCAGACCTATGCCATGGTGAATATTGAAATACAAATGTTGGTGGCAAAGACTTTCTATTCAAGATGGTATGGACTTCAACAACTTCGGTCACCTTGTCAGCAAACCCTGTGGTGATATCCTGCAGTAGCACTTGTTATGAAAACAATATAATTCACAGTTTATACCTTTCCTACCACCTTCAGTAGGTAACTTTTGAGAACTTCTTAAATGGTTAGTTGTTGCTTTGTTCTATGTACTCACTTTGAACAAAGCAATGAGAACTCCCCAATTCAATTTAATCTTCAGACATATATTTGCTTACTTGTCAAAAGTATCTTTCACATATGTTTATGTATATATGAATATGTTTTTTTACTTACTTTTACTTTATATATTTTTTCATTTTATGCCATTGAAAAGTTTTAGGTGAATGCATTTACATGTACTGTACATGTATGTTGGAAATTATGCAGAAAGTAACATAAAACCAAAACCTAAGTTTGGAATTTGAAATGGTAACTCTTGTAAAATGTTCTGGTTTGGGAAGTTTGATCACCGAGCCCGTTATTTGTCATGTTTATATTTTATTTTTCTTCTGGCTGTTATTTGAGCCCAGAGATTATCCAAACATCTTCTGAATATGGTGTTAAAGGCCCAATGCGGCTGTTTTTATATCAATATCAAATCATTTCTGGTAACAATTAAGTACCTGACTGTGATTGTTGTCAATTAAAATGGTCAAAAAGAAAAAAAAAATGCTTCTTAGCAAAGAGTAATTTCTCAAGCAAGAATTTAGCTAGGACTGCCTGGTAGTGGTCCGAGTGGGGAGGGGAAAACTGAAAACAGCTGTTATTGGCAGAGAGGTTTGGAACTCTTTCTTATTGGTCTATTAACTAATTTACCACATGGTAATGACACCAGGCAGACCAAAACTCCATCCCACCAAAACAGGCTGAAATTTCAGACGGTCCTTTCAAACCGTTCTTACACTAAAAGGGCATTATCATAATTTTCACAGTATTATTCCAACCTCATAGTGTGGAAATATATACAGTATAAAACACAGGAAAATCGTTTTTTTTTGACTCCACTGGGCCTTTAAACACTAGGCTTCACTGGGTGCTGCATATTCTCTAAGCTTTTAAGCGATTCATGTCTTCTTTTGTGTATTCATAAAATACTGCTTCGAAATGCCAAATTGTTTTGCGGTAACTGAATCACCTGGTTACAGAACATTGCTTGTGTCTGTTGTATGAATAACACTTTATCTCACACAAACTAACATTTCATCCTGCCATTTAACCATGATTCTGTTTTCAGTGCTACACACTGGAGTTTTCCTCCACCCTTTTTATGTTACCAATGTGACATTTTCATCTTAAAAGACCCATTATTGTCATTTCTGCTTTTCTTGTTATTAAACCTTCATTTTTTCTCTGACATGAAATAAAGTATTGTATACAATAACGTTTGTTTTTGTTAGTAGCGTTTTTATTTGTAAATTTTACGCAGCCCGACAAACGCTATTTGCAGCGGACAAAGGAGCAAACTTAGAGACGAAGTGAAGTGGAAAGCGAAGGAGGGCAGTCAAATGTAACACTATTAAGACCTCACAGCTGATACTGGAAGGTTCCTTGGCCTAATTTTAGGCTGAGAGCAGAGAGGAGGGCAGCCAATCACCTGCTCCCTTCTATAAGGCTTGGTTCTGTCCTGTACAGGCAGGGTGCATCACGGTGACAGTAAATCACTGACAAGAAGGTACCTGAGGTGCAGTTTATGCATATCACCAATCACTGTACTACACATAACAACGAGGTAGAGTAATGTGTGAAGATCTGACACTTGTGCCTGTGGGTATACTGAACATGAGCAGGGATTAAATTAATTTTTCAAACGTTTAAACTACAGTGCAGTTAGATACTGTTGCTTTGAGGTCTGACTGGCAGACACACTTGGCCTGCAACCTACAGGTTCAAGCATTAACTGAGAGTGAAAGTGAATGTTGAGCATTTGACCCCAATGACGTCACTACGTCATCACACGGTCATGGTGATGTGATTTTTTTTTTTTTATGCACAGTAAACACATTATAGAATTGGAAGATTTTGACTCATATCTATTTAAACCTTGATGGCTGTAAACCTTTTAAAGTTTAAACCTTGATAGTTGTATTTAGATTTAAAGGGAATGTGATAGGTCTACAAATCAGGATATTATAGTTCTCTCACAGCATTCTGTCTTTCACTTAAATGGTTTTCACATAATCCCTTTTCACTTAAATTGTTTTTCAATGTAGGTTTGTATGTTTTAGGCCTCTACCAGTCAAACTCAAATGCAGGCCACCACTGATCATGCTTTAAAGGGACCACTCTGCTACAGTAAGAGAGACTGGACCTGCTACATGAGAGGAGGTCATCCTTTTAAGGCTCTTGTAGGTTAGGCATTTGGAGCACCTCCAAGATGCAAGTTCAAAAGAGGAAAGGGTATTAATAACCTAGCAATAAAACCATGCATCACACAATGGCTTTTGGGTGTCCACCTTCTCCCTCCCCCAACCCCTAAAAAAACATGCACAAGCAGTTAGTTTATGAGCTAATCACATGATCAGTAAAGATTAAAAAATATATAACATAATTGAGCTTACCAGGTAATGCTTCTTACCGTTGACTAACACACTCCCGACAGGGGAGACCCCTTACAATGAGAAAAAAAAACAAAAAAAACATTCAACTTAAAACACTTTGTACAAACTTGTTTTTCAACAGTAAACATGCTAACACCCTGTGTTTTCATAAGTTCATAGGTTAATATATACTTGCAGGAGTATCAGAACACAAGCCATTATTATTTTAAGCATTATCATATCTCGATCCAGTTTTGATACCGGGAACGCAACACCCTGAATATATTAAAACCACATGTAACAGTGCGCATACCCGTCTCTAAGCCCCATTTCACAATTTGATGACGCATCCCCCCCCCCCCCCCCCCCCCTCCCCCCCACCTCCTGTCAATAGCATAAACACATTACTACGAGCTGTCGAAAAGTATAAAATCGTAACTGCAGTTTGTTTACCTGTGTGACTGCTGCTTGGGGATCGGCTGCTGCCTGCTTGTCCCAGCCCGGATTGTCAGAGCGGGAGGCTCATGTTGAGCGCAACTGTACCCCCTTCCTACAAATGGAAGGGCCAGTCTCCATGGCAGTCCAAAAATATAACCTGAGCCCTTTGCTCAGAATGTGCTCCGTCGTGACAGCACTCTAGCTGCGACCGTCAGCCAGGCAGGGGGTGGCCACTGCACTTTCGATATCATCACCCCTCGTTACCGCGACCAGATGCTCCTCTCTGAAAAATACTCTTTCAGAGTGACGCCCCCTGCAGGAAAGCATGAGCCATCTCAACCAGCTCAGTAAGTTTAGCTCTACCAATTCTGATCAAATTGTTTGCCAATCAAAGCTGCTGGGTAGAGTAGAAAAAAGATCCAATCAAGCACCCATGACACAGGAGATGAGGAAAATTCATAATTTTGCAATTCTGTAAGGCGCGTGTGAAGCTAGCAAATTAGAAACATTCTCAGCATGACAGGTAGTTCTTGCCCTGGTGAGAATCTAATTCACACCAATACAAGAAATGTACACCGCCACACATATCTTCCCATCATAGCCTGTTTATGAAGTTGAATTAGACCCACTGGTCAGTCCAAATACTATTTTAAAACTGCTGAAGACCTTGATAGTTGATTCAGCTAATAATGTCAAGGGTCGAGTACAGTAACAGTTAAACAGACTGTCCACAGATCCTGTTCTCCTTTGCCCGGGCCATTGACATATATTATGTTTATGTATCTATCTGAGCTCCCAGTTCTGTGGAAAAGCCATCTGATTGCCTCACTGACGTTCCTGTCTTGTCTCACTTTTAGGTTAATTTTGCTTGCCTAACATGACGGCAAATATAGCAACAGGGGTATCTTTGCTGTCCCTCTCCCAACTTAAGACCTCCCTCCCTACCCCACAATCCTTCCATCTCCTTATTGAGTGCCGGGTCTAAGACGTCGAGACATCCCCCCTGCAGCCTCGCCTCTTACGCCTCCTTGGCCAATAGGGACCCCCCGTGGATCAAGTGTCACTATAACAGAAGGACATAATCAGGGTGGTAATTCTGCAGAACCTTACAGCCAGTCTCGGCCACCAGGGAGCTCACTTCTTCTTTACGCTTTTCTGAGGTAAGAGAGAGAGAGAGAGAGAGAGAGAGAGAGAGAGAGAGAGAGAGAGAGAGAGAGAGAGAGAGAGAGAGAGAGAGTGAGAGGGTTTGGAAGGAAGAAAGAAAGAGTGAGTGAGTAGAACAAGAGAAGGAGAGAGTGAGAGAGAGATGGAAAGATTAAGATCAAGTGCAATGTTAAGAGCTCAGGGCCCCCCTAGCTGTCTCCTTTCAAGAACAGCTGAATCCACACGTGCAAAACCACTGCCACTGTGTTAAAACACTCAGGCTTTAAAACAGTCGGCTGCTCCTTGTTGTTGAGGTCAAGGGTGAGAAGGACCCAACCAGGGGGATAGGGACAGGTGAAGGGAACATACAGGTTTCTACAAAAGCTTCTATCTTGACTTGATCAGTAGAGCGTGGGTGTCTCTTTTTGCTTTGGCATTTTGAGTTACGGTAGGCTACATTGAATAGAACATAATTCTTTAAATCCGCTGGACATGTAGAATGACTTGAGACGAGTGTCAATGTTTTGTGTCATGAAATGCTAGTATAGGTGTGAAAGTATGTTGTTGTTGTTTCTGCTATGTGCTGGTAGCTGTTGATGGATTAAACGGTAAAAGTGACTTAAGCGGTAAAAGTGTCTTGGGGGTGAGGCCTGGCTCCAACTGGCTATCGTAAGCCTGGGCTTTACAAATGGCCCTCTAAGACTTGTAGCTATGTTGTGGAGCTGATCCAACGGTTTAAGTAACAGTCAAGGCTAAGATGAGGGATCTAAAGATATACTCAAAGCTACCTCAATGTTAGGGTTGGGAACAGTATTGCTAGCACTATACAGTTTTTTTGTGAGATGGTTAACAGATAGCTGGACAGATATCTGGTGAATAGATATGTTTGCTTGAGTGTATATCGCAGCAAAGACGGAGACAGTCTCATAGAGAGAAAGGTGTGACATTTGATAGTTTATGATATCCAGGAGCCCCATGAACTAGGAGAACATGGTGGTACATTAAACCTTCCATACTTAGGATAAACACATAGACACTACTACTGTTACAGTACCCATTGAACTATAGCCTGATTTGTGAAATCAAGCCAGAAATGCATAGCTATCAGAATAGGATTGGGACTTCAAGAAACAACCTTTGACTTTCCGTCTTTTACGTTATCAAACAGTTTCATGTACTTTCATTATTCCGCTTTACCCCCATTTTTGTTTTTCATCTATAAGAAGTTCATATGGCATCATGGAATCAGAGGAAAGTGCCTGAAATGCCTATGTGAGGGAGAAGCCCGCATAAGGAAATTAAATGGGAATTATTGATACTATTCCAAGAGAAAGAACCTGATCTGTGCTTTGGAAACCGGATCCTGGACATGTTTCTCAGAGACATTTGCAGCTGTCTGTTTGGGAATAGTTATGATGTGCGAGGAGGCCTCCAGGGTGGCCTTAACAGTTATAGGAGTATGGTTTACAAATGCAAAGGCTAATGCAAACATCCTTGCAATGTACGCTAATCAATTCGAAATTGATACTTTGGGGATTTTTCATCAGATGATGATACATTGTCTGAAAAGATAACAAACAATAAGTTGCAAAACAAAACCGTAATCAGAAGCAAAAGCCCACTGGGCACAGACGTCAATTCAACGTCTATTCTACGTTGGTTCAATGTAATTTCATTGAAATGACGTGGAAACAACGTTGATTCAACCAGTGTGCCCAGGTAACCAATGGCCTACTAAAATTGTCCTAGAAGTCACAGAATGCCTTTAAAATGTTGATAAAGAGCTAGGTCATCATGTTTCTAAAGATAGGCATTTCCTAGCACCTATGTTGAGACATGGAATTTGACCAAGAGATTAAGTTAATTTGAGGGCCACAGATCTTTACATTGACCTGTGGTCTCATGCAACATGACTCCCAGCCAGGGAAGGAAGGAGGGAGGGAGGGAGGAGGAGGGGGAGGGGGAGGGGGAGAAGAGGTAGGGGAGGCGCAGAGGGAGTGGAGGAGGATGAGGGTGATACGCTGTTCTTCTGTTTTTCTTCCCCGGCTTCTGGTGAGTTCTGATGTGCTTCTGCTCTCATTTGCGTCCTTCTTCTTGGGGTCTTCTTTTTTTTGTGTTGTTTTTTTTTTGGGTTGTATAGAAAAAAAGGTCATCAATATTTGTATGGGGGTCTTCCCATTTATCGTCTGAGAAGCAAAATTGTGAGTGTGTTGAATTTCAGTCTTTTCCCATTTCCTAACACTATTTATAAAACAGTTATAAAAAGGTGGTGATTCAAAACCATTTCCCTTTACAAATACAAAAAAAGGCCATCAATATTTGTATGGGGGTCTTCCCATTTATCGTCTGAGAAGCAAAATTGTGGGTGTGTTGAATTTCAGTCTTTTCCCATTTCCTAACACTATTTATAAAACAGTTATAAAAAGGTGGTGATTCAAAACCATTTCCCTTTATAAATACTGCACATTTGTCCTGTAACACAGTTTATTAAAAAATGTAGGCGAAATGTTATTCAATTAGGGTTGGGTTCTGGTAATGGGAGAAGACATTTTAGAGCCTGGGACCATAGCCTCATGCTATAAATACTGCTAGTGACTTGAGCGTGGCCTCCTTGGCGTCTTGAGTGAAAGTGTCTCTCTTTCTTCCCTTGTACCTCAGCTGCAAAGTCCACTGTCAACATGTCTGACACAGAGGAAGTGTAAGTATTGGTAACATTTGTTTTCATCCTCACGATTACCTCATCCAGATTTCCCATGCATCATGTTGTTTTGACTGCCTGACTAAACGTGCAATATCTTTTTCTATCCTTTCACAGTGAAGGTAAGTAACATTCTTACTTTATTATTGCTAGGTATCATTATTGTATCTTTTCATTATCATAGTCATTTTAAATCGGCAATTGTTCAATCGCATGCTGAATCATTCTGTATGTTTTTGAACCAATGCCTAACTGATTTCAGTCCTCTATGTAGAATAGTTCAATGCAATGGACAAACTTGGCTTGCCTCCTTGGAATTCAAGTTGTGCTCAATACTGCCCTCTACAGCACAACAGCATACATTGACTTTGTTTATGACACTGAATGTGGAGAAAGCCATGATTTAGGGCTCTTTTCAATCTGTAAAGCTGAACTTCCGCGATAGATTGAATAGAGCCCTTATTCATGACTTACTGATTAATGGTTTCAGGAGCCAATGTTGATAACAGGCCATGAACTAAATTAAGCATATAAATCAAACATTCAAATGATTTAAAGCATACCTTTAAATTATTTTCTAAATGTCAGACCACATACATCTACTAGTCTGTTAGCAACAGGTACCTGCAACTCTGTAGACCTTTTCCAGTAATACTGTCCTCCTAGTCTGTCCATATTCTTTCTGATTTAAAATACATAATGTATCTCCTCATTATGGAGGGAGATAAATCAAGCCTATTATACTACCAGGCCTTGAAATGTTTTGTCTGCTCAAAAGTTTGTGAACTTGGTACCATTTCATTAGCTATGGAGGACTGTATTGTGTACGCATACAATGGATCCCTACTGTACCCATATTTTCAGTATATTACATAAACTAAATATTATAAACTGATATATTGGGTACAGCCGGGTTCTTTTGGTAATACTATTGTTTTACTGCTTTCTTTCTCCAAAAAAAACAAAACTCTCCGTGGAGGCGAGGGAGAAGGTAAAAAAACAATGACGCTCAGACTATGAAGACGGTCATGTCATCTATACTAATATGTCATTGTTTCGCTCTTGATCTTCAGTGTGTTTGAGAATGTGCATTCAACTCTTTGGATCTTCATGTAGCTTGTAGCACGTTGGATAACGCTAATGCTACCTCTTCATTCAAACACCTCACTTCCTCAGGCTAATGCTACCTCTTCATTCAAACACCTCACTTCCTCAGATTAATGCTACCTCTTCATTTAAACACCTCACTTCATCAGATTAATGCTACCTCTTCATTTAAACACCTCACTTACTCAGATTAATGCTACCTCTTCATTTAAACACCTCACTTCATCAGGTCCCTGTTCATAAGATGATGTTTTTATTGTTGAATTGAAATGTGTCGTTTTACAGGATCAGCCATAGTAGTACAGCACCACTGGAGCAAATTAGGGTTAAGTGCCTTTCTTAAGGGCACATCGAGAGATTTTTCACCTTGTCAGCTCGGGTATTCGAACCAGCGACCTTTCAGTTACTGGCCCAATGCTCTAACCGCTAGGCTACCTAAGATCTAGTCATTGACAACTTAACTCTTTCTCCTTCTTGCTTTTGTCTCTGCATCATGCAGCGTCACCTGGTGGTCACGACCATTAACTACTCTCCTCTTTCTCTAAAGAACACACCCTCTTTCTCGTGCTTCCATTCATTAACCTATCCATCCCCCTTCCTCTCCCTGGTTACTCAATGCATGCTGTGTAGCCGTAGCAGAGGAAGTAGTTGAAGAGGTAGTTGAAGATGTAGTTGAAGAGGTAGTTGAAGAAGAAGTGATAGAGGAAGAGGTAGAAGTGGCCCCAGAGCCAGAGGCAGAGCCTGAGGCAGCCCCAGAGGCAGAGCCAGAGCCAGAGGCATAGGCAGAGTCTGAGGCAGCCACAGAGCCAGAGGCAGAGCCAGACCCAGAGGCAGAGCCAGAGGCAGAGCCAGAGCCAGAGCCAGAGGCATAGGCAGACCCAGAGGCAGAGCCAGAGCCTGAGGCAGCCCCAGAGGCAGAGGCAGAGGCAGAGGCAGAGGCAGAGGCAGAGGCAGAGGCAGAGGCAGAGGCAGAGCCAGAGGCAGAGCCAGAGGCAGAGCCAGAGCCTGAGGCAGCCCCAGAGCCAGAGCCAGAGGCAGAGGCAGATGAGGAAGGTATGTTGGCATGGGGTATTCTATCATCCTTTTAGATGCAGCAGTCAGCTCCACCTGTTACAGCCAGACAGACAAACAGACAGACAGACCTAAGACAAGAATAGCTAGGGCTGTGTTCCAATGTCCATAGTAGCTTACCCTCAAAACCTTGGGGCATACTTCATTCTAAGTGGAATGTTAGTGTGGATAATGGGACAGAGCCCCAGTGTACTTTCCTGTTCTACATTTACTAGAATGTAGTACCTTCCCTTCATAGCTGACCAACACAATGGATGTATTATGCAATGTTATTAGTTGTATGTTATTAGTTGTATGTTATTAGTTGTATGTTATTAGTTGTATGTTATTAGTTGTATGTTATTAGTTGTATGTTATTAGTTGTATGTTATTAGTTGTATGTTATTAGTTGTATGTTCCCATTTAGAATGTGTAAATAAATATGCCCTGTTCCCTTCTTCCTGCTTTTAGGCCTAGTGCAAACTGCTTCCTCATAGCTATAGATGCATTAGACTTCTAACCCTATGCTATGATCCCTAATGTTACAAATATTTAAAAATAGTAATAATACATTTATGTTATGTATTCAAAGAGGCAGTCACACCATTGCTGATTAATTAAATATATGGCAATTGGTTGGATGTGCAAAATGTCACATTTTAAACTTTTGATACCTGATGTAATTCATCATCAGTGTTTATGCCCATTTCTCTAAAAGGAGCAAAAATACCCCTGTGCTTCTACTATGAGCCTGAAAAGGCATAATCCTGATTATACATGCACTCTAAACATTTGTTTGTTGTGACAGGCACTTGTTAACTGAATGATACTTTGAGGTGCTATTGTGTGAGATACATTTACAAATCCATAACTGTTCTTCCACAAACTGTTGATGTGTTAAGCAAAGGTAATTCCTAGTGCTTAGCCTGACAAAGTATAATTTACATTTCAAATATGAAAGAGAGACGACGCAAATGCTCAAGCTTAGGTAGACTATTTTACAGTATGCAGCCTATAGTCTCATTAGTCAGCCCTTATTGCCGTTGCTAACGCTGTTCATTTTGCTTGCTGCATGTAGAGGTCATTGAAGAGGAAGGTACGTTGATTAAAGATGAATTATCTGTTTAGCTCTGGTCGGTACACAGGACTGCCTTTATATTGTCCATGTCCCAGGTCTGAGGTCTCACTGTATTGAGGGAATGTTTGCTCTGTCATGGCTGTCTGTCAGATCAAGGAGCACTGTGGAATTGGTAGACTCTAAACTAAATGAACATTAAGAACTGCTAGGATTTAAAAAATCTGTACATCAGATCATCTAATCAATTTATAAATGGTATAGTTTGGGGAGGGGGGGGGGGAGAGGATGAAAGAATATGAAATGCTAACATTTGCTTAACCCCGTACTGACCCCACTGTTCAACCCTCCCTGCTATGCCCACTCAATATTAGCATGGTACAACTCGATAACTTCAAAGTCCATTTTCTAACAATTAAATCTGTGTTGTCTTGCTTGTGGAAATGGTGTGGGGGTCAAGCCATAAACACTACACAGTTATGACATTTATATTTTAAAGTAAAACACTTTGCCTGTCTTTAAGGAGTAATATTTTCAGTTTAATATTGTCCTTAAATATACTGTACAAGTGGACTTTCCTTATCTTAAAATAAGACCACACTTTAGAATTAAATCCTGCACATTTAAAACATGTTTACATTCTCCAACTGTGTGTGCAAAGTTGTTTATGTTAAGTCAATTTGTGAGATTTAGATTTCTGTCTGTTTGTGGTTATTTTTCTTTTGATTTTCTAATCACTAATGAACATTGACCACCTCTAATTAAAAGCCAGGCTAAAATTAGGAATATCTAACTGCAGATCCATTATTTTCCATTTAATGTAAAAACAACCAAATAGTCATCCAAGTAATGCCTGAATATTTTTTTGCCTGAGAATGACTCATTTGCTGATTTGTGCATTATGATGATGTGTGCATTTCTAACCCAATAACATGTACTTGTCCTCTTCATTTCTTAATATAATATACAGCCCAAAGGCCACAGTTCAAGTAAGTCATCTTTCATGTAACCCCTCATTTCATTGTACACATTTCTATCTATATATATGATTACTACATAGAAAGACTACATTCCTATTTCCAATTCCATTTCAATCTCTCATTGAAAAAAACTATATTCTTAGCTGTGGTAGTCAAAACGTTCAGCTGTCTTATTTTATATAGGCCTAGCACACCAAATATGTGTATGACTGGTATATATATATATATACAGTACCAGTCAAAAGTTTGGACACACCTACTCATTCAAGGGTTTTTCTTTATTTATACTATTTTCTACGTTGTAGAAAAATAGTGAAGACATCTAAACAATTAAATAACACATATGGAATCCTGTAGTAACCAAGAAAGTGTTAAACAAATCTAAATCAATTTTGTATTTGAGATTCTTCAAATAGCCACCCTTTGCCTTGATGACAGCTTTGCATAATCTTGGCATTCTCTCAACCAGCTTCACCTGGAATGCTTTTCCAACAGTCTTGTTGGCTGCTTTTCCTTCACTCTGCGGTCCGACTCATCCCAATCCATCTCAATTGGGTTGAGGTCGGGGGATTGTGGAGGCTAGGTCATCTAATGCAGCATTTCATCACTCTCCTTCTTGGTCAAATAGCCCTTACACAGCCTGGAGGTGTGTTGGGTCATTGTCCTGTTGAAAAACAAATGATAGTCCCACTAAGCCCAAACCAGATGAGATGGCGTATCGCTGCAGAATGCTGTGGTAGCCATGATGGTTAAGTGTGCCTTGAATTCTAAATCACAGACAGTGTCACCAGCAAAGCACCCCCACACCATAACACCTCCTCCTCCATGCTTTACGGTGGGAACTACACATGCAGAGATAATCCGTTCACCCACACCGCATGTCACAAAGACGCGGCGGTTGGAACCAAAAATGTCCAATTTGGACTCCAGACCAAAGGACAAATTTCCACGGGTCTAATGTCCATTGCTCGTGTTTCTTGGCCCAAGCAAGTATAATCTTCTTATTGGTGTCCTTTAGTAGTGATTTCTTTGCAGCAATTCGACCATGAAGGCCTGATTCACACAGTCTCCTCTGAACAGTTGATGTTGAGATGTGTCTGTTACTTGAACTCTGTGAAGCATTTATTTGGGCTGCAATTTCTGAGGCTGGTAACTCTAATGAACTTATCCTCTGCAGCAGAGGTAACTCTGGGTCTTCCATTCCTGTGGCGGTCCTAGTAAGAGACAGTTTCATCATAACTCACAACTGATTGGCTCAAACACATTAAGAAGGAAATAAATTCTACAAATTAACTTTCAAGAAGGCACACCTGTTAATTAAAATGCATTCCAGTTGACTACATCATGAAGCTGGTTGAGAGAATGCCAATAGTGTGCAAAGCTGTCATCAAGGCAAAGGGTGATTATTTGAAGAATCTCAAATATAAAATATATTTTGATTTGTTTAACACTTTTTTGGTTACTACATGATTCCATATGTGTTATTTCATAGTTTTGAAGTCTTCCCTATTATCCTACAATGTAAAAAATAGTAAAAATAAAGAAAAACCCTTGAATGAGTAGGTGTGTCCAAACCTTTGACTGGTAGTATACAGTGGGGAAAAAAAGTATTTAGTCAGCCACCAATTGTGCAAGTTCTCCCACTTAAAAAGATGAGAGAGGCCTGTAATTTTCATCATAGGTACACGTCAACTATGACAGACAAAATGAGAAAAAAAATCCAGAAAATCACATTGTATGATTTTTTATGAATTTATTGGCATATGATGGTGGAAAATAAGTATTTGGTCAATAACAAAAGTTTCTCAATACTTTGTTATATACCCTTTGTTGGCAATGACACAGGTCAAACGTTTTCTGTAAGTCTTCACAAGGTTTTCACACACTGTTGCTGGTATTTTGGCCCATTCCTCCATGCAGTTCTCCTCTAGAGCAGTGATGTTTTGGGGCTGTCGCTGGGCAACACAGACTTTCAACTCCCTCCAAAGATTTTCTATGGGGTTGAGATCTGGAGACTGGCTAGGCCACTCCAGGACCTTGAAATGCTTCTTACGAAGCCACTCCTTCGTTGCCCGGGCGGTGTGTTTGGGATCATTGTCATGCTGAAAGACCCAGCCACGTTTCATCTTCAATGACCTTGCTGATGGAAGGAGGGTTTCACTCAAAATCTCACGATACATGGCCCCATTCATTCTTTCCTTTACACGGATCAGTCGTCCTGGTCCCTTTGCAGAAAAACAGCCCCAAAGCATGATGTTTCCAACCCCATGCTTCACAGTAGGTATGGTGTTCTTTGGATGCAACTCAGCATTCTTTGTCCTCCAAACATGACGAGTTGAGTTTTTACCAAAAAGTTATATTTTGGTTTCATCTGACCATATGACATTCTCCCAATCCTCTTCTGGATCATCCAAATGCACTTCAGACGGGCCTGGACATGTACTGGCTTAAGCAGGGGGACACGTCTCGCACTGCAGGATTTGAGTCCCTGGCGGCGTAGTGTGTTACTGATGGTTGGCTTTGTTACTTTGGTCCCAGCTCTCTGCAGGTCATTCACTAGGTCCCCCCGTGTGGTTCTGGGATTTTTGCTCACCGTTCTTGTGATCATTTTGACCCCACGGGGTGAGATCTTGCGTGGAGCCCCAGATCGAGGGAGATTATCAGTGGTCTTGTATGTCTTCCATTTCCTAATAATTGCTCCCACAGTTGATTTCTTCAAACCAAGCTGCTTACCTATTGCAGATTCAGTCTTCCCAGCCTGGTGCAGGTCTACAATTTTGTTTTTGGTGTCCTTTGACAGCTCTTTGGTCTTGGCCATTGTGAAGTTTGGAGTGTGACTGTATGAGGTTGTGGACAGGTGTCTTTTATACTGATAACAAGTTCAAACAGGTGCCATTAATACAGGTAACGAGTGGAGGACAGAGGAGCCTCTTAAAGAAGAAGTTACAGGTCTGTGAGAGCCAGAAATCTTGCTTGTTTGTAGGTGACCAAATACTTATTTTCCACCATAATTTGCAAATAAATTCATTAAAAATCCTACAATGGGATTTTCTGGAATTTTTTTTCTCAATTTGTCTGTCATAGTTGACGTGTACCTATGATGAAAATTACAGGCCTCTCTCATCTTTTTAAGTGGGAGAACTTGCACAATTGGTGGCTGACTAAATACTTTTTTTCCCCAATGTATATATATATATATACAGTATATATTAGATATATCTTCTTATTATTATTTAATTTTTCTTGTTTTAGGTCAAGATTATTTCAAATTGTAAATATGTACATATATTTGAATACAAACAAGAAACAAGATTACATAAAACATAACATAAGCAACAGAAAACAAACTAGTGGCAGTAAACAAAAACAACAGAAACACCACCACCAAAAAAAAAAAGATTTTGAAATTCCCTTTCAGTTCTCTGATCTCTTACAATGTTGCATTACCCCTAACATTTTTACATTTTATAAAATATTTAATAAATTACATTATTACATTTTTATTACATTCGTAAATAGAAACATTCTTTATTTTTATTATTTACATTTTTCATAGATTCACTGTATTTTTATATTGACACTTCTCAGGGCACCAAAGATTCCTGATGGCGAGAAAGTGGACTTTGATGTAAGTAGCTATAGCCCTTCATACGTCATGACCATCTGGAGACAGCTGGCTGCATAAATACCAGGACTAATGTCAGAGTTGACAATATATTTTTTCCAAAACGCTATATCCACCACCTTTTCACATTTGTTTTTGTTTTTCTCATAGAAAATGATTGCTTATGGATACCTTCATGTGTATGTAAAATATTACTGTTCTCAGATTTAGATGTGTATCAAAATGTGTTTTTATGCAAATCGCTATATATCTATTGTTTAGCTTGAATGGAATGTTCGTATCCTATATATTTGACTGAAATGTGGTTGTCTCACGTAGCTATCTTTAGATGAATGCACTTACTGTAAGTCGCTCTGTATAAGAGCATCTGCTAAATGACTAAAATGTCAAATGTAAATGTTTTACATACAGATCTCATATTACTGTATTGAATTATTATCTTTAAAAAAAATCGAATATTGATGTGACAAATGTATAATTTGTACATTTCTTTATACAAAATGTAGTAATTTGTTACATTTGACTGTGTAAAACCTAGCAGTACTACTTATTTCTCTGACAGTGAGGCACATATATAGCATTTGACAATAAAACATGATTATTTGTCTCTGAAATGAAACCATCAAGTGATAGATTTTAAATAAATACATATCTGCAATTGGACAACCCCATGCCATGATTTTGCTAGGGCTAAAAACTAAACGTGCACCCAGGGTGGGCCCCAGGATCGAGTTTGGGAAATCCTGGTCTAAAGAATCATTGTACCATCTAAACTGCTGTGAAATATATTTTCCACACTTAATATAGTGTATTTTCAGCTGTTTGAAACTGGTGTACAGAAACGAAAGTAAAAAATGAAACTTAAGAACGGGAAGCATAGTAATAGTGCACATAGACCATATCTACCGCTTCTTAGACTTGCTTTCAATGAGAATGACAGATCTATAACATGCATTTCTATGTGGATTTGGTCAGGTCGCCTAAAAACGTTACATATTGCGTCTTTAAACTCTTCATGTACTTAACACGTGGCTCTATTTCCCAACCTTACAGGACATTCAGAAGAAACGTCAGAACAAGGATCTTGTTGAGCTGCAGGGCCTGATCGATGCGCACTTTGAGCACAGAAAGAAGGAGGAGGAGGAGCTCATCGCCCTCAAAGAAAGAATTGTGAGTGAGAATGAGTATATGACATCACTCTGCATACACATATGAGTAAATGACATCACTCTGCATACACATAGGTCGTATTTGAAAATGAAAACAAGGTCGTAAATTAAAACAAGGTTTTCTTTTTGGACAAGTTCAGGTAGTCCATCCCTGTTTGTGTACGTTTAGTTCCTAGTGAATACGACCATGACAAAACGATAAGACGTTGCAGTGCCCACTGGTGGCCAAAGGTATAACAACCAACCATGTGTGTCTGTGTGTGTGTCTGCAGGAGAAGCGTAGGGCTGAGAGGGCCGAGCAGAACAGGATCCGTAGCGAGAAGGAGAAGGAGCGTGCGGCGAGACGTGAGGTTAGTGTCCTCCGCCGGTATCACTACCGACCCCTCTGGGCTGTCCTCAACTATCAGCGTTCTGTCAACACGGGACATGTCCTTACAACACACATACTGACGTTGTGCTGTGATCTCTGACACAGGAGGAGAGGCTGAAGAGGGAGGAGGCAGATGCCAAGAAGAAGGCTGATGAGGATGCGAAGAAGAAGTCTGCCCTGTCCAGCATGGGCTCCAACTACAGCAGCCATCTGCAGAAGGTGACCAGTGACCAACCGGTCTTCACAGAACCATACATGATGAATTTATGAAATATCTATTATATAACATGTAATTCACAAAAGAGCGATGGGTTATGTGTGTACATGTCCGATCGATGGACTTGCCTCTCGTAACCACTGCCATTCATTTGTAACAGGCTGACTCAAAGAGAGGTGGGAAGAAGGAAACTGAGAGAGAAAAGAAGAAGAAGATCCTTACAGGCAGACGCAAGGTCCTGAACATCGACCATCTGAATGAAGAGAAACTGAAGTAAGAGACTGGGAAATTCCCAGTTCAAGTAACAGACTTGGGCTTTGTGTGTTGTTTTGGTGAGGCGAAATGGGCCTACAGCCTACAAAAACTTTTGCAACTGTCCCGTTATCTGAAATGAATGCACACTCTAAGAACACCCTTCAGCCTAACACAATCAAGTATTCAACCACAATATGAATATGGAATCTCCTCAGAGAGTTTGTACATTAACTCACCAAGTCATCCTGCTTGCTCTGCTCTAGGGAGAAGGCAAAGGAGCTGCATGAATGGATGAAGACGCTGGAGTCTGAGAAGTTTGATCACATGGAGAGGCTGAAGAGGCAGAAGTATGAGGTATGTATCTGATGTCCTGGTTAACGAAAATAGAAATGTACTGTACATTATCCCATTGATCCTAAATACACACAGGTCAATGCACATCTGAAAGAATTATGGGCTGTTTATGTTAAGTCTACTCAAGAGCTGAGCTGATAGTATGACTGGCTCTGTTCTTAGAACATATACATCTGGACATGACGCATTACACTGTGGCAGTTTGGATGGTACTGGTATTAGCCATGACCGTATAAAAGGTCTAGCTCAGTCACAATACACTCTTAGAAAAAAAGATACTATCTAGAACCTAAAAGGGTTCTTCGGCTGTCCCATAGGAGAACCCTTTGAAGAACTACTTTTGGTTCCAAGTCTAACCTTTTCGGTTCCATGTAGAACCCTTTCCACAGAGGGTTCTACATGGAACCCAAAAGGGTTTTACCTGAAACCAAAAAGGGTTCTACAGTACCTAGAACCAAAACGGGTTCTCCTATGGTGACAGCTGAAGCACCCTTTTGGAACCCTTTTTTCTAAGAGTATAGGTTTTTACAGACATTGCTAATGTAAGACACCCTGTTAGATATTGTAATCGTAAGATACCCTGGAAAATTCCAAGTCTTACCTGAGTAAAATCAGGGGTGACATTGGGCCCCTGAGTGTGTCCATCCACTTGATGGCCTCAGTCACGGCCTCTCAGATATGAACTCAGCTCTGCTTTGATATCTCCTCCAGGTCACAACCCTGCGTAAGAGAGTGGAGGAGCTGAGTAAATTGTAAGTAGAGCTGGACCGTTGTCACAGCTCAGGGGGCTCTCCTGGCCCACTGCAGTGCATGGCCTGAAACTTTTGTGAGAAAGTTGCATGTGAAACTTCACACAGGAGGCGACGGAAACAGACCAAAGGTTCAAAGGTTCGATCGAGGAGACGATAAAAGACACCATGGAAACACAAAATGAAATCTTAATAAGTATTGATTATATCTCACTCATTCAGGTTGAAGAGAACATTCTCTGTTATAGACAGGATATAACACATGGTATACTGACACCACCATGTCGTTTTTAAAAGAGTTGCAGAGAGACATAAAGGTGCTGTCTATAGAATAGGACACCAGACTGACGCTCAATCATTGAGTTACAGAGAATTTATGTCCTAAAAGCCAATTCACTAATCAAGTCTTTAGAAATGGTGTGTTTCCATAGGTAAGTTATTCTATCTGGAGTTCATTCCCACTGAAAGAAGTGACAGAAACTCGCTAACTATAGCCAATTGTCTCCAACATGTCCTCGTCTCCTGAACTCTCTATAATTGGCAGTTGGGGAGTTAATACTGACACATACACAGCTCACAGACAGTTAGCCTAACTATTCACAATCTCTCATAGTCCTCTTTTATTAATACAAAATATTTTCTTCCCCCTCTTATGGTAAACAAATTAGAATACAAAAATAATAAAACATTAATAAGAAACCTAACACAAAAGATCAATGTTCTCACACAGCAGCAGTCTCCAAGGACTCAGCAAAAGGGCGTGATAGGCTAGGTGTATGTCCCGTCTTGGTTCCCCATACTGCCACACACAGCAGGCAACCCCTGGCCACAGGACATTCAGTCCACAGAAAGGAGAGCATTGGGCTCCTTAGTCTCAAGGTAAAGCCTCAGTCTGTCTGTCAGTCTGTCTGTCTCCTGTTAAATGTGCTGTTGAATGTGTAATTTCCAGGTCGTTACTCTCAGGGACCACAGTGATGAGTTACATAAACAGTAAGTAATATAGCTTCCACACCTATATCATTCTAGCCTGGTCCCAGATCTGTTTGTGCTCTTGCCGTTGCCAACCATTGCTGTCATTGTCAAACCAAACAATTCCATAAGGAGTTGGCTAGAGAGAAGAAACAGACTGGCACCCAGGCTAGTAACATTCCCCTCCTACACCCATTCAGACTGGCACCCAGGCTAGTAACATTCCCCTCCTACACCCATTCAGACTGGCACCCAGGCTAGTAACATTCCCCTCCTACACCCATTCAGACTGGCACCCAGGCTAGTAACATTCCCCTCCTACACCCATTCAGACTGGCACCCAGGCTAGTAACATTCCCCTCCTACACCCATTCAGACTGGCACCCAGGCTAGTAACATTCCCCTCCTACACCCATTCAGAATGGCACCCAGGCTAGTAACATTCCCCTCCTACACACATTCAGACTGGCACCCAGGCTAGTAACATTCCCCTCCTACACCCATTCAGACTGGCACCCAGGCTAGTAACATTCCCCTCCTACACCCATTCAGACTGGCACCCAGGCTAGTAACATTCCCCTCCTACACCCATTCAGACTGGCACCCAGGCTAGTAACATTCCCCTCCTACACCCATTCAGACTGGCACCCAGGCTAGTAACATTCCCCTCCTACACCCATTCAGACTGGCACCCAGGCTAGTAACATTCCCCTCCTACACCCATTCAGACTGGCACCCAGGCTAGTAACATTCCCCTCCTACACCCATTCAGACGGCAGGCATGATAATCTGGTGTATAAACACAGACATATGGACTTTCTCCATCTGATTACCATGCAGAGTTAAAAGGTTAAAGAACGTTTAACTCAAGCAATCCATAGACTGGTCACATAGGCCTAATACACTTCCATCAGAATGACAATACTGCAGTAACTGTTCAGGACAGTTCATGTAAGTTTATGGCTGAAAACATTACAGTTTAGAATCCACCAATGAGATTAAATGCTGTTGGGTTTATCTCTCCCTTCACTATCTGACAGAAGAAAGTAATACGTTTGCTATAGAACATTGCTACTGTATAGGCAAACATAGTTAGCCATTCCTTCTGAATTTCCTATGACATTACTTCTTCAGTACTCTTGGGCCCTTTTGGGACACAAAGTCATAAACACAAGCAGTACTCTTATACATACAATACATACTGGCAGTCCTAATCTCAGAGGATGTAAGCCTACACCCAGGTTCAAGACGACTGGACTTATTGGGTGTCAAAAAAGAATGAGGTACTCAACTATTCTTCTATTAAATCTTGTGCATCACTTTCCTGAGCAGTGATGTAACATAGATAGATCTCTCCAGAGCCTTTTTTTATTTTATGCATTTGACAATATGACAATAACCACAACTTAGAACACATGGACTAAAGTTCCCTTTAGTCCATGTGTTCTATTTTGTGGTTATTGTCATATTGTCAAATGCTTCCGAAGCAAAGAAAATACATGAAAGCATCAAATCGGAGGTCACTTTATATTTGTTCATTTTAGAAGTCACTGTGCAGTCAATAAAATGCCTGGCCAATTACGAAATATTGTGCTTTCAACGTTCCTTTGCTCTCTCAGTGTAGCGTTCTAATGTCTCAAAGCTTTCATGTGTGTCACTGCCACCAAGGACAGCCATAAAGACAGCAAATACTCCATGAATCTTCACAGCCACAGAGGTATAGAACACCTGGGTCAGTGAGAGAATCATGGAATATTTCCTTTGTTTTCATTCATTCCACCATCACTTTCATTCCATGGTAAGTGCTGCATGGTGTGTCATAAAGGATAAGCATGAAAACTCCATGATTTGTTTTGAGTGGTCTGATGTAATTGTATCGGATGTGGTTGATGATTGTCAGTTAGACCAATGTTATATTAACATTGGAACAGCATAACTCGCACATTTGTTTTCACTTTTATGTTAAATAATTTAGATTAAAGTGAATTTAGTAAGTTAAAGTCAATGTAAGTCTTTATTTGTAGATAAAATGGGCATTGATTGTCTCTTTATGGGATGTCTTACTCTGTTTCTCTCTCTTTCTGGCATATTTCAGCTCTAAGAAGGGTAAAACAGTCCGCAGAAAGTAAACGGTCCCATTCTGCTGCTTGGAGCCCAGACTGCCACTGTACTACCGGACACACGCCTAATGCAGCAACAACAACACACACTTACGCTAAAGTCATGGCTCAGACAAGACTAACTACGTTTTACTGTATGCTTATTCACCCAAGACGTGCTACAGTCTACAGCCCAGAGCCATTAGCTGCTGTTGTAGGAATTATCCTTCATGCTTTCTCGCCCTGGACTGTTTGGTTCTCAGTAATTTTGTAAATAAAGTGTGACTCTTCAACTTTGTCTGTAGACGTGTCATTAACCAAACCCTCAATACAAAAAAAAGTAATTTGTTCATATTAATAATTATTTCCATTCTAATACAAGGCAGAATATTGTTGTGTTTGCAACAGTAGACTAAGATTAACTTGTGGAATGTGTTAGAATAATAATAATAATATGCCATTTAGCAGACGCGTTTATCCAAAGCGACTTACAGTCATGTGTGCATACATTTTTACGTATGGGTGGTCCAAAGCGAGTATTGCATTATAATGAAGGTTTCTTCAACATCCCATCGCACCATTTTGAGGGAAAATGGAAGCATTTGAATTGACATCACAATTAGATTGAATTCAATTGTAACATAGATTGAATGTATCAAACAATGTTCTGGTATGTAACTATTACATTTTACATTTACGTCATTTAGCAGACGCTCTTATCCAGAGTGACTTACAAATAGGAGGGTGATCAGGGTGATCAGTGCCAGTTTGAAATGCAATGCTTAATTGATTAATTCATTTTTATTATCGTATCAGTGCGCATGATTCATGCAACAATTCAATTGAAAAATTAAAATTCTTAAATTAAAATTGGAAATGGTAAAAATAAATTCTAAATAAAAATGGTAAATGGTAAACAGAAAAGGCCAAATGTAAACAGAGAATCGTAAATGCAATGTGCATAGTGGAATTTAAAGTGTCTGTTTTAATTTTCCAACTACCCAATTAAGCATTTTCTCTTTACAATTTCCATTTTAACTGTATGCGAATTGCTTCTTGGAGGTGTGAACCAGGAGCGCAACACCACACCCCAATGTAATAGTACAACCTAGCCATGTCGGCTCTCTGTGCATTGATTTTAGACTAGTGTAACCAACACACGGTGCGAAGCAACCCAGGTCTCCTGCTCACCAGAAAAGCATAGACCTGCTAAGCTGAAGCCTCGGGGAGCCAATGCAACTCTTCAGGTCTCAGGCAAGTTTAGGCCTGCACATCATGCATGTTTGGTAACTGAACCACCTCAGTTACAATTCACCATCCTTTGACCTCCTCCTCCTCACAGAGACCCATCTGAGCCACTGCACAAATATGACTGGCAGGGTTCGAACAAGGGTGTACTGCACATCAGAAGAGCACGTTAGACTGCTAAACCAAAGCCTATAGCCATTGGAACTCTTCACGTATCAGGCAATGTTACTCATCATGCGAACAACTATCCAGGAAGAAGTGGTTCAGTGACCACGCACATGTGATGAGGGCAATTCCAAGGTAGCAGAATGATGCTGAGACTCCAAAAATGTTTTTAACAAAACATACAACTCTACTTTTAACAGTTTACAAAAACGACTTTTAACAGTTTCCACAGAAAATTGTACAAAACATATTTACTTGAAGAACAGTGCAGATGCAAAGTTTGGTAACAGAATGATGGTTTGTGCTGTTTGTGCCGTCATTCTGTTACCAAACTTTGTATCTGCACTGTTCTGCAATTAAATATGTTTTGAACCATATCGACATCTTAATGCACCTTCGCCATTGAGCATTTAAGCATTGCATTTCCGAACTGGCACTGATCACCCTCAATATGTAAGAGAGGATCAAAACCATTATGTATCATGGGTAAATTCTGACTGACTGACTGACTGATCTACAAATAATAATGAGTAGTTATTTATGATGCAAGGTTCTCTGTAGATCAGTCAGTCGGCAGTCGCCTGTACTGTCGGCTGCAATGTCGAAGAAGCCCAAAGTCAATAGGTTAGTGCTATCCGGAATGCTTGGGACGTCCCGACACTAACCCTAGCCCTAACCTTAACCCCTACCCTTACCCTAACCCTAACCCTAACCCTTACCTAACCCTAACCCTAACCATTTTAAATGTCAACTTCAATGGGGTAGGGACCTCCCAAGGACCAAAGTCAATACTATGAAGTGAGAAAGAAGGACAAGAGAAGGTCACAACGCATGCTTCCACAGACCTAGCTGACCACCTGACCAGGTGTAAACACTTCACGGGTCTTCATCTGCATTTTGGAGGGAAAATAGCTGGCATCGGAGCGGAGGCTCTGGCTGGATACGCGGTAAGGTGGCGGACTGGAAGAAAAGGAAGAAAGTGGAGCATATTATGAATAAATATGGAGTAGGGGATTTCCCAAGCCTTCTGGAAGATCTGGTGAAGGAGAAGATTGTGGACAAGAAAAAAAGGAGAAAAGTGGAATATGTTTTGAGTGAATATGGAATGGAGGATCTCACAGAACTGGAGGAGGAACTTGAACGTGACGAGAGTGAGGTATAATTAACTGTGGTGGCAGGTGCAGTGATGAATGCTGAGAAGGAGCTGAGTGTAGTGGGAAGCATTCTGGCGAGGAAGGTTGGTGTCAAGTGCAAAAAAAGGATACGTGTTCCAGAGAGGATTCCTGTGAGTAGGCAGAGATCAAGAGAGAGTGATGGGAAGAATATGTGCTTCAGTAAGGAAGGCTTCTTGGCATTCATAGCTTTGATTGTCAATTGTACTGCAGAAATGGATTGAAAGTCACAGAAAATAGAGGTTGTGGTGGCTGCGGCAGAGAAATACTTGGGAATGCAAGGTTTTACTGCAGAACAGTTGCAGGGGGTGTTGAGTGGTAGTGTTCTGTCCTCCCAGACTGTTGGCCTGGAGTAGGATTAGATAGGGGAAATAGTGGAATGGGGTGGTATTTTTTTTTGGCAGGGTACTTTATTTGTCAGGGCTAATAGTTGTCAGGGTCATTTTTCCTTTTCCTTTTCCCCAAATGTATAGTACCGTGAATGGCCTCACACTCCAGTACAGTAGATGGCGGTGTATGCACCTTAAATTGGATGCGATCCGCCAACATAATCCCAAAGAAAAAGAAAATGGCTACTGACAGTGCGGAGCAAACAAATATATAGGTCTACTGACCAGTACAAGAAACAGCAAACTGAACTTAACGAATGGCTTTGAAGGAAACTTAAGTCTTTGAAAGTGCTATGTTTATGCGTAGCCTATTATTTTGAGTAAGTAGTCTCTCACAGCCGCTGTTGTTTTTTTCTTACAAGTGGTTGATAATTTAGGCCTAGCCCAAAGGCCGGCAGATGGCGATATTGAGATGTTTATCTTACTGCCCAAATGCATTGTATGCAGCCGGGAACTTAAAACATTCTCCATCCAGGCTGCATAGGCTTCGATTTCCTCCTTAACTTTATTCAATGGCGAGAAGGTGGGAAAAAATTGGGAAAAAGCGTACTTTCCTTATGAAACCCCGTTTTCCACCACCATGCCAGAGTGGCTAAATGCTAATCTTGATGTTGTGTATGGGCTTTAGCCAATCAGACCAGGGGTTCCATTTCTTTTACGCTTGCTGCATTAGTAGTTCGTGGAAATTCTACACATGGGACTCTCAAAGTCAGTCTTAAATGAATAATTGTTTATTAACAGCAAGCTGGAGAGGTCACAGTCAAACTTAGATGCAGAAAGTACCAGTCTGAAGTGAACTCTGTCGGGCAGTCCCGTTAGATCTCTTATATACTGCTTATAGACACGTTACATAGGCTTAGTTCATAGGGTTGGTTCCGGCATGTGTCTGGCACCGTCTCCTATATTAACTTATAGAATATATTCTGGGTGTTCTGCCAGATGGTCCTAAGAAGGGGTCATGTCGCTTTGAGCTTCTATCAAAAGGAGGTTCTATACTTCTATTAAAGTAAGGGAAATCAACACATAAAACCAGACACTTCATCATTTCAAACCCTTCATTCTGGGTTATACAATCTAATTAGTATGGTAATACTATCATCATAATAAAGGTTATACTTCTATTAACGGGAGTGAATTTATCAAAAATACACACACATACACAGCATGTTAAATAACACAAAAAAACACACGCTGCAGCCCATTTGGCAATTTGGGATCCCCAACTTCCAAACAGTGATTCCAACCAAATTGCAGGTGTCCACTCTCGTTGTGGGGAATTATTCTTAGCAACAGTGGCAATCAGTGGAGGCTCCTCAGAGGAGGAAGGGGAGGACCATCCTCCTCAGTGAAATGTATTTTTTCTTTTTTATAGTGAAACACTAAAAAAGTTATCCTTTTTAGATAAAACTATACTAAATATATTTATATGTCACCAAATAATTGATTAAAACACACTGTTTTGCAATTAAGGTCTATAGTAACTTCAACAGCACTCTCTGGGGTAGCACCATTGTGTAGCCGGAGGACAGCTAGCTTCTGTCCTCCTCTGGGTACATTGACTTAAATACAAAACCTAGGAGGCTCATAGGCCTCACCCCCTTCCTTAGACCTACATGGTAATTATGACCACTTCCGGAGGACAACCTCCAACCAATTAAAGATTTTGCAGTATGAACTGACATGTTGTCCTTCCAATCATAGGATTAGGATCAGAGAATGAACCTAGTGTGTTGTATTGGGGTTGTGCAGCAGAACATTATTTGTGTGTCCAGTTAGTGCAATTTATTTCAATTTGCCTTGCTAACTTCAGTAGCAAGTAGCAGCTCCAGTGTGCAGTTTTCGCCGCCAACGCTACCGCAGTTTTTTTGTGACTTTTTGTTGAAGAACCCCTTTCATTCTCTGGGGTACACGGAAAAGGTGCGAATTAAAACCGAGAGTCGACCTCTGCCTGAGTTTCATGAAGAAGGATGAAAAGGTGAGGGCGTTCAATACCAATTGGTATCAAAAGTATAGCTGGTTAACAGGGAGCCTTTCATCAAGCCGCCTGTATTGTTGGCCTTGCCTGCTTTTTGGAATGTCAGCCTTGGGCGAAAGAGGGATACAGTGACCTGAAGAACATTGATCGTTCAGCTAAACGGCAAAACAAAAGCAGGGAGCATATACAGTGGGGAAAAAAAGTATTTAGTCAGCCACCAATTGTGCAAGTTCTCTCACTTAAAAAGATGAGAGAGGCCTGTAATTTTCATCATAGGTACACGTCAACTATGACAGACAAAATGAGGAAAAAAAATCCAGAAAATCACATT